ATACATTTTAAGTAATTCAAATTAAAACCCAAGAAAGTATGTATGCGTATGGTTTTTGGTGGGGGAGGGGGAAGAGTTCAAAAGGTATTCTAGCCGAAACCGGTTTGGCTCAGTGGTGGAGTCTCGGTCTGCGGACTGAAGGGTCCCAGGTTCGATTCCAGTCAAGGGCATGTACATTGGTTGCGGGCACGTCCCTGGTGGGGGGTGTGCAGGAGGCAGCTGGTCGATGTTTCTTTCTCATCGACTTTTCTAGCTCTCTATCCCTCTCTCCTCCTCTCTGTAAAAAATCAATAAAATATATTAAGAAAAAAAAAAAAAGGTATTCTAAACTTCAAGTAAAAAAAAAAACATAGAAAACCCTCACCCCACCCCAAACACACAAACAGAAAAAGGGAGAAAATAAATAAATAAGGGAGACTTTACACTATTAAATTAGAATATTACAAAACCTCAAAAGTTAAAACAGTGTAATTTTGGTATAGAAACATATAGATAGATGAGGAGAAAAATATAAAATCTAGAAAAAGATCTCAATACATACTGAAGAACTGTATCTTACCCAGAGATTAGATTATAGAGTTATCACACAAAGTGAAACATTTCATACAGGCAAAAATTATCCAAGAAAAGTCCTGGATCATGTCAAAATCAGTAGAAACTGAACCATAGAAAGCTCAGAAGCCAAAAACTTACCTTTATTAGTTCTCTTTGCATTACATCTCTCTCACCTCTACAGCCTTTAGCCAAAATGCAAGGATGATATTCAGTGCTATTACAAAGAATTGAAGTATTTGATGAAAGCTGCTATCCTATTTAGTGAGACCACAATCCTATATAATATAAGGCTAATATGCAAATAGACCAAATGGTGAAACATCTGGAACAGCCAAACAACCGGTCACTGTGACATGCGCTGACCACAAGGGGCGATGGCACTGGCTGTGGCGGGATGGTGGAGTAGGTGAGTGCAGGCACCAGGCCAAGGCAGGTGCCAGTTGCTGTCATTGGGGCAAGCCTCCGGTGGTTATTGAAAATTCTTTGCTCCCCTGTGCCGTGGTCCCGCCCAGTGCTCGCACCTGCTGCCAGTACCAGCCCCCTCGCACATGCTGCCGGCACCACCACTTGCACCTTCTGTAGGTGCTGGCGCTGGTCTTAATCACTCAGTGCCATCAGCGGTGCGAGCAATGGCTGCCAGACCTAATCGCCCATGAGGGCTTCTCTACCTCTCCCTGCTCCTGAGGGATGACGGGGCAGCAGCCACTGCTTGCACCCACTGACAGCATTGGCCCCACTCGCACCTGCTGCTGGTGCTAGTCCCAATCGCTCCATGCCATCAGTGGGTGCAAGTGGCGCCATCAGTGCATGGGAGCAGCAGCACAGGGAGCGGGGCTGCCAGCAGACAGGGACCCGGGGCCGCGGTGGGAGGGGTCAGGCAGGGGTGCGGAGGATGGGGTGAGACCTGCTCCTGTGCCTACCACAGCCTCGCAGCCCACAGTTCCTTTCAAGGGACCCTAGTAAAATAATAAAGAGTATGGAATAGTGTGCAACACGGTCCAGGATGGCACTTTTGCCCTTATCCATCACACAGGAAAGCAGCAGTGTAGGAGAGGCTGCAGGCTCTACTACCAGACACATGCCCAGCCTTATCCAGGCAGCTGAAGGCCAGCGCTTTTGCTGCACTGGAGGAAGGCAATGAAGACCTACAGATCAAGCCTCACACAGCTAAATGAGAACACTTTAAAATTTTTAAATAGCAAAAAATGTCATACAATAGGATCAAGATCCCATTTAGGGTGCCTTGACCTAGAGAAAGAAAGATTTCATGGGGTGATGTTGCTGAGCACCACAATTAGGGAAAACAAATGTTTCAACTTTTCTCAACACCCAATGCCCCTCCACTAATCAATCACACCTTTATATATATGAATGCTTTTGAAATGTTATAGTAGCAGATTTTGTATAGTAAAATTAGAAATAATTTCTCTAACTTTTACATTTTCCATACTTCATTTGTCAAAAGAAACTTGCAATATTACAAAAAAGAAAAAACATAATATGAAAGACCATTTCCATTCAAGTTAAATGTTAACATCTACATGCTTTCATTTTATGTAAGATTAATCTACCAAGGTTTCTGGCAAGAAAAGAACTCACAGTAGGGAGGAAAAAATTACTTTTCTGTATTTGCTAGAAGAAACAGCAAGCATATAAACCATTTGTTCTGTAAGATGATTCATGCAAAATCACTCTGTATAACATAACAGTTACAAAAGTTATCCTAATGCACTGAAAACATCAAAACTGCAATATGATAAAAATTATATTTCCCTTGTCAAGGAGTTTTTCAATGTTGCAAGTTAGTCATTATTTGTAAATCTCATGCATCAAAATAAAGGTGACCAAATGTTTTTGGAAAAGTAATTTCACTCTAAAAACCCACTGATAATTGAAGGTCCTTACTCATATACTCATAGCTAAAGAGTAATATCAAATGTTAAGTGCTCGAGGATACAAAGGACTGAATTCCAAAACTAAGGAACATTTAAATAGGTCAATGATTACAGTACACTATTCAGTATTTTTCATAAAATACAAAACTTGGTAAGACCTTACAAAAACTCTGGCACGTTGTTCCCCTCACATATTATGAACTTCATTGGCAAGTTAAGTCAAAACATCATCACAAGTGAAATTAGTAAAAATGGAGTCAAGAATTCCGAAGTGCAGCCCTCTATAAAGGCAATGAAAAATATGGCAAAACTGTCACAATCAGCTTTCTTGGGATTCAAGAAACTAAAGCTTACAGCAGCCAGGAGAACACTTAATGAAGAAAAAGCAGGACATTTCAGTAAGAAAAGAGTTGTGTGGTATTACCTTACCTTAGTCCCAGCCCCCAGCTCTCCAACTCAGCAGTAGCCTTGAAGTAAGACTGCATTTCAGCCACCAGTGCCAGAGGAGAAGAACGGGGCCTCATTCTCAAAGAATTTTAATTATTTGTTTTGACCTGTCTGGTGGCTTTTAAAAACAAAACAAGACAAAAAAAAAAAAAAAAAAAAAGCACTTGCCCTATTTTGTCCAACTCAGCATTCAACCAGTGCTACAGGGACCATATGGAAGATATTTACCAGCGAATACGTTAGTTGCTGCTGCATGAGGTCATGGGTAACAGTTGGACTGAACAGTAGCCTAACCGACAGCTTTGAGGAAAGGCTGGGGAGGGAACAGGGGCTTCGAACGGCTCTGACATATTCCTGAGAAATCCAGAAGACCACACATATTCTGAAAGACCCAGAGAGCTGGGCGGCCATACAAGTATCAGGAAAAAAAACATGCCTGAAGACAAAAATTGTTATGTGAGAGAAAGGACATTTAAAAATGACTAGAGGCTCGATGCAAGGATTTATGCACCAGTGGGGTCCCTCGGCCTGGCCTGGGGGTACTGGGCCAAAACCGGTTCTTCGACATCCCCCAGGGGTCCTGGATTGCAAAAGGGCGGTTCTCGGTTGATGCACCCGGGAATCAGGCCTCCTCTCTGGTTCCAGGTGCATCACCTGAGAACCACAGCTGCCAAGTCACCACAGCTTAGCAGCTCTGGTACTGAGCGTCTGTCCCCTGGGGGTCAGTGTGCATCATAGCTATCGATCAGTGTCTGCCCCCTGGTGGTCATTGCATGTCATAGCTACATCTCGGACAGTTGAAGGGTCGCTTAGTCTTTTATATATAAAGATATTAAAGAAAGTCAATCCATCAAGAATATCAAACAATTATAAATATATGTAAACCTAAGACAGAGTCCCAAGATACATGAAGCATAAATTGATAGAACTGAAAGAAATAGGCAATTCAACAATAATAGTTGGAGACTTCAATATACTACTTTCAATAATGGATATAAAACCTAACAGAAGGTCCAAAGAAAACTGGAAATTTGAACAATATAAACCAAATAGATCTAATGTAGCTACAGAACATTCCACCCAACAAGAACAAAACATATATTCTTCTCCAGGTCACCTGAACATTACAGACCATATGGTGGGCAACAAAACAGATCTCAATAAATTTTAAAAGATTAAAGTTATACAAATATGTTCTCCAAACAAAATTAGAAATCAATAACAGAAGGAAATTTGGAAAATCCACCCTGAATATACTTGCTTTTATCTAATTTTGCCAAGTATGTACCCTAAACATTATAATGGAGGTTTTGGCCAAGGTAATTAGGCAATAAAAAGAAATAAAATGCATCCAGTTTGGAAAGAACAAAACTGTATTTACAAGATGGCATTATCATATATAGTTGGATATCCAACTAAGGTATCCACACAAAAAAAATCTATTAGAGTTAATAAGGAGTTCGGCAAGTTTTTATACTCTATACCATTTTAAAAGCTTTATAACTTGGAATTACTGAGATTTTTCCTATCAGTGATGCTCTTTGCAAATACCTAAGTAGTTTAAAATAAAAATTCAATTTCCCTTACAATGCTTAGTTTAACAGAATCAACTCTATGTTAAACATGGCAAATTCTGACATTAGGGAATCAGAGTATGATTTTGTGTCAATTGCCTCTAAGAAATCACCAGATGAGTCACAGGAGGAAGAGCACAGAACTTGGAACTGGCCGCTGGCAGAGAAAGCCAACCTCTATGGAATGCTCTAATTAACAAATGTAACCTAGGCAAAAAGATAAATCACAAAAACCATTTCCCCAGATTAGACAGGACTAAGCAAGCTTCAAGTCAGTCAGACATTTCAAAACAACAATAAAAGACTACCGTGTTTCAACAATATGACCATTCTAAAAAGTCTGAGATACCCCAGTAAGGGGTGGAAATTAAAATAAGCTCCAGGAAAAGATTAGCTTTAAAAGACCATTAAATTCAGTGAGATCTGTCCACTATTATCAAATCAATAAATATTTGTTTTTTTCACAATCAACTAATCCTCCCCAAACCCCTACCTCCATCCCCCCAAAAAGGAAAAGAAAGGCATTTACCTCTTCTAAGCTAGGGAGCGAAGAAGAAGATACTGTTCGAGATGACAATGGGTGAAATGGCTCTTGACCAATAGCGTGTTGATGATTCTGTATTTGTACAAAAGGGTTTTGTGGTGGCCTGTGAGGCAGCGGAGGTAGGCCATAGGGAAAACCCGGCCCGATTAGGTGATTCTGCTGTAAGTTAGCAAAAGTCCATGCTCCATCAGATGCCAGGTATTTCAAGGGAGGAGGGGCAAAGTGTTCAGATGGCAACGAGAAAGGCGAGCTGAATATCTGGGGTGGCAGTCGCTGCGGAAATGCTGGGTTGTTGGCTACTTCAACGTCTCTGCTATTGTCGTTAAAGTTAGAAAAATGGCTACTGTGGTCTGTGCTGGAGGGGGAGGAGGGGACTGCTGGTGGGCTCCTAGTCTGAATTTGTCTATACTGCAAAAGTCTTGATTGAGGTGGTGGCATCTCAGCTAGTTCCCGTGCTTCACTTTGATCACGATTGGACAGTTCTCTGAGTAAGTCCTGAAACCTACATGAAAGATGATGAAATGTGAGGAGGAGAAAATAAAAGAAAGGCTCCATCATATTAAGGAGAGTTTAGTCAACTACGTGTGCAATTTCTACAAACAAAGTCATAACACATAACTTGAACTAACATTAATTAATCTCAAATATAAACATTAATACTTAACAAATGTGGAATTAAAAACACTAAATATGTTCAAGTACCTGATTTCTTTCTTTTCCCTTTGTATTAAAAACAACTGTCTTAGTCTCTACAATGCCCCTGATAGAAGGTCACCACAATGGTGGGCCTTATTCAGAAGGGATTAGGAAACACTTCGGTGCATTCATATGACACTAGCCCTAAAAACAAATTTAGAGTCAGTAATGAACACTCATCAATACCTGTAGTTAAAAGGAGGTAGAATTCTGTGCTACTAGGAAAAGAGTTAATAAAAAATTTATAATTTTTAACTTTTAACCACTGATTTACTTGTCTTCATTCATTCTTTATAAGTATTACTACTGAGTAAGAAGAAAAAAAATTACTGAGAAAAAAAATTACAGTATGTTTCTCTTTTAGAAGAGACCCCACATCACTTCTCGGCCTTTCGGCTACGATCAAGTGCAGAAGAGACCACAAAGCACAGAGCCATGTGAGCTTAGCGTTTACAGCAGGCTGTCTATACCCAGATTTGCAGAGTTAAACTGATTCTCTCTACTTCAGGGTCAATCAATAGGACTGTGCAGTATGTGCCCAGAAGGCCAGCATCCAATTTCTTTGGGACAATATTCCAACGTAAGGCTAAGAGGATAGCACTCAAGAATGAAAAGAGTGGTTGGGTCATGTTTGAGGCTGGTTTTATAATAGTTGTTAAAATACCTTGACTCTGTCGTTTCTGCTTCACCTTCGGCACTGCCTGGCAGCTTCCAGTCTGCCCTCACTGGCGGCTGATGTAATCCAATGGGTGGCTGAGGAAGATGCTGGAGGTGAGGATGAGGATGGTGATGGTGTGAGTATGGAATACTGCCCTGACTCAAATAGGCGTGATGCTCACTCCACTGCTGTAACCGCACTTGCTGCTGTCGCACTGTTTCCAAGGCTACATTCCCATGCATACGATCTGCAAAAACATTTGCGAAAAGTTTAAGTTTTCATGTATAAAGGTTTCCAGTTAGTTTTTTTCAAGAGTTTTTATAATCAGATTTTCTCCACAAAGACAAAGAATTGGCTACAGTTTTCACTTTGGAGAAAGCAAATGTTTTTTAAATTTGCCAGTAACCAGAGTTATCGTGATGATGATGATAATGATAATCACGGAACCCGGTATAGATTGGATGCTTAATGTTACATAGCATTTAGAACTAAATTCTGATTATTACACTAAGTGATTGATTTTTGCTGGCATTATTTAAAGAAATGAATCAAACCTGACCCACATTAATACTTGTCATTTTAAGTAAATAATCTCTGAATTTGTCACATTCAGCAGTGACAGGGCAACTTACCTAAAGCCTCCCCTATCGGCAGTCCTGGGGGGTTCTCATCGGTGAAGTTATTCAGATGTGAAGGAAGGAGGGGGGCAGGCTGTGCAATGGCCCGTAAGGGACTGTGGCTTTCTTGCAGCACGGGAGGGGGCTGCTGCTCAGGGGCCACAGCCTCTGCAGGAGGGGACTGTGGTCGAGGAGGAACTGCATTATTGAAAAAAGCACTGTTGGGCCCTGCCTGGTAGGCAGAAGAAAGCTGAGGAGGTGGCGGCTGTGGAGGCAGCTGATTCAAAGGATTCTGCTGCTGGACTACCTGATTTGGCTGGGGTGGCATTTGGTTTGCTTGTTCAGGCAAATTATTCTGCTGCTGGTTTAACAAGGTGTGCTGCTGCGGAACTGGAAATGGTGCTCTTGGTAACTGGGGAAGGGGATGAAAATGACGACCAGGGATGGCATACTGTGCAGGGGGAGTAGGAAGGGGAAGGTTTATGTGTCTTGGGTTGAGATTATCTTTGCGATGAAATTTGGTATTGGAATAAACAACACCAGGACGTGATTCAGGACTTCTGTTCTGTGGATCTGAATCCAAATCAATCTAGGAAAAAATGAGAAATCTTTTTTAACTGGAAAACCAAGTCTGGTAGCTCTCCGCCTTTCCCCATCCCTACCACATCTTGGGGATATTATACATTCTTATCAGTAATAGCAGGAGTACAGGGTACCCAATCAATCACTCTCTGACAATAAAATTAGGGCATAGTATTTCTTAAATTCGGAAAGATGAAACAGATAAACAGCATATTAAATCTGAGTCATAGAAGAAATATTGCCATTTTATTAGCATATCCACTTGAACTCATTCAAAAAACATTATTTTTAATTTCACACTTTCTTCCTTAGAAGATTACCATTTCTTTCTTTCAGATATAAATCATTAAAATGTGTTCTTTCTTCAAACATATATCTCTTTCTTCAAACATACCTCTATTAACTTAAAAAGCATGAAGTGAATAATTTATATATCACCTTTATATAATCAGTTTGGTTATCAATTTTTGCCATTGTGACTGACATTTATTCCTTCAAGAAAACAATTTTTGAGGGCTTTCTAAGGGCATTGTACCTGGTGCTGGAGATTAGAAAGCAATAAGAGGATTTAGTCTGTGCCCACAAGAGCTTAGAACAGCAGGGGTTGGCCAGCTATGGTCCCCAAGCCATTTCTAGCCCAACAGACTTTTGTAAGTTTTCCTGAACACAGCTCTTCACTTACATGCTGGCTATGGCTGCTTTCTCACTATAGTGACAGAGTTGAACGATTGCAACAGAAAACATGACCCATGAAGCCTGAAGATTTACTACCTGGTCTTTTGCAGAAAAAGTTTGCTAAGTCCTGGCTTAGAGCCCAGTAGAGGACACCAACATGTAAATATAAAATGAGAAGTGCTGTAAGAGGAAATGATGAGATCCTGGGAAATTAAGTGGCTTTGCACAGGCTACGGCAATTGTACTGAATTTTGCACAAAGAGCTGGAATTTTCCAGGGAGGGAAGGACATTCTCGGTAAAGGGAATAGCTTATACAAAGGTGGAGAGAGGAGAAAAAGTAGACACATTTGAAGAGCATGAGAAGTTTTGTGTACACAGAGGTGGAACTTCACTTGTTTATGTATTAATTTTCCCCTTCATGACAAATGAAGATGCACACGACCTTGAATGATTCAATACTGGGCATAAACATTTTTTAAATCCTGTAAACTGTGGCAAGTTCCAAAGGCTTATAAACTAAGGAATGCAGCCATCCTGAAACATGAGTCTGATCGTAAGTGGTGGCAATGTGAAAAATGAAATATAAGGCGGAAAGAAGCAATTTTTGTTTTCCATCTCTGACAAGGCACTCAATGAGCTGCTTTGGTACATCAATGTCCTTACAAGTTTCAATGTTGAAATAGTCACTGAAGATTATTTGCCTTGCCAAAGGCTCTCAAGTTAGAAATGGAACTAGCTACTCCCAAGAACACAGAACAAGTAGCTTGTTCCTGAACTGAAGCTGAGGTACACCTAGCAAGCAAGCTATAGCAGCTGATGGTTCCAATCCCAAGTGCACTCTAATCTCTAATCACCAGCTCTAATGGACTGCCATTACATTGGGCCAGTAAGTTCCTTAAGATCACTAGGTGTACGCAAATAGTCTAGTAAGTGAAATGAGCAGGATGACCCTTCTGTCCCAGTGGGCCCAAGCTGCTGCAAAACTTGCTTTTCAAACGTCTCAGAGCCTGATTAAAGTTCTTTATAAACAAACATTTTGCCCCAGAATTTTTATTTTATTTTAAGGACTGGCGCTACATTCAGCTGGGATGTACTTTTTCAAAGACTGTTGATATGCATACTTTGATTGCACGAGGGAGACCATGATTAGATGTCAAGGTTGTTTGTGGATAAGGGCTGTTCTAATTGCCTCCTTTTCTTCTGACTTTGACATAGACAGGAAGCTAGATCAGTGCCAGAGAAATTTAGATCAAGACATGCCTCTTTATGATACTACAAAGGGCTAGGACAGTTTGCAAGCCACATGCGGTTCTCTGGCCCTTGAGTGTGGCTCTTCCACAAAATACCACGGCCTCGGCGAGTCTATTTTGAAGAAGTGGCGTTAGAAGGAGTTTAAGTTTAAAAAATTTGGCTCTCAAAAGAAATTTCAATCGTTGTACTGTTGAGATTTGGCTCTGTTGACTAATGAGTTTGCCGACCACTGGGCTAGGAGAATAGAGAACTCTAAGGTCTGAAGAAGTCTGGGTCTACAATTATAAGAATTAAACTATCACTTTCCTCTTAATAATAAGTTCCTGACTGAAGGAGAACAATTCCCCCCCTTCAGCCCCTCGCCCCTACTTCCTCCTACTTTGCAGGACAAAGCATCAGGGTAGGAAAGAAAATAAAACATGTCTATTGGATTGCCTAGTCTCCTAACAGGGAAGGATCATAACGGAAATTTAAAAACAGGGACCTGAAAAACACTAGTAGCTATCCTGGCTTCAGTTGCTCTGACAGCACCTAAGATTCTTATGCTGGATTTTAACTACCGCTGCACTGTCCCAACATGTCCTGTTCTCTCCCTGCTCCTCTCCCAAATACACAGGACTTCCACTATCACTGCCACAGCCCCCTTTCTCTTTTGGGAACTTCCCTGGCTGCCTCATTCCCACTGCGGCCCCTCCAGGGGCACTGAGTCCTCCCAGCTATTGAAGCTGAGCGAAAGCTACTTATGGGACACGAGTAACTGACTATAGAGAGCAGTTGCTCAAAGCAAGGCTGGGGTTGGAGATCCAGATTTGGAAGTCATTATCATGGAAATGGACTGGTGTACAGTAAGAAACCACAGTATGCAAGGAGAGGTGTGGGGCAGAATCCTGAAAACCCCCAATTTAAGAATTAGGAAAAGATGGAAAGGAGGTGGACAGGGACTTATAAAAGGGACAGAAGGTCATGTTAGAAAGAACTGTGAAAAGTAAAAATATGTGTCACAGAAACCAAAAGAAAACAAGATGGTCAAAATGAAAGAAGTAGAAAATATCAAAGTGCCAAATATCAAAGGTAAGTCAAACAAGACTACAACTGAAGCATATGCATAGCATTTGATCCCTTAGAACCAAACAGTTTTGATGAAATGTTGAGGCTTGATACTAGACTATACTAGTTAAGAGACATAAAAATAAAGCTGAGGTAGGAAGGAGAAATTAGGTAGTAGCTAAAAGAAGATGAAGATAAAGAAAGTGTCTTTTACAAAAACAGTCTATCAATCAATTTACTTAGGAGCTGAGGAGGAAGAACCTGTAACTAGAAAGAAACTAAAGACAAATGAGAAGAGAAAACAAGTTCGGTGAGGTGAGCAGGAGAGAGATTAGTTTTAACGAGAATGTCTTCTCTAAGCCTGGTGATAAGGAAGCAAAGGTGTTCAAGGATGCAGAAAAGTGTTAAGTTTAAGGTTTTAAGTTAGCAAGGTGAAATCCTAATGACCGAAGTATAAGGCAAGATCGTCTCCTGATCAAAAGGATAACAGAAGCTGAAAGATAATCAGGCATGAGAAGAGCTGCTGAGAAAATCAGGCAAACGGAGCTGGGTATATGTGAAAGAAATGTGGTTGGAAAACATAAATGTGCAATGGCTCTAATTCGGTCAATACTTTGGTTTTCCCTAACTAGTCACAAGCACAGAAGCAGAGAAAGTAGATGAACAAATGGATAGAGTTAAGTATTTATACAGTGGGTCGGAGGAGAAAATGAGGTGAATGACTTGAGAAAGTTAAGTCTTCCTCTGAGGAAGCTAATTCTTCCTCCTTCTTCACTATACAGCTTCTTTTTTTTTTTTTGGAGACAATTTTTAATGACACAACTATTAGCTGTGTCTTCACTGACTACTTTATCATGGAAAGTCTCTAAGTTCAAGTCTATTACCGATACCACAATTTGAGAAAAGTATACTGATAAACTATAATGTAGGAAAAAAAAAAAAAAAAAAAAGATGGAGAGAGGGTAACATGACCCACCAGATCACTATAAAACAATAACATTAAAAATACAAATAAAAAGTAAAATTTTTAAAAAACATTAAAATTCCAAGATGACCAATCAGACTAAATCAATTAGAACAAATTCAGTCATTAAATGTAAGCAGCATACCTGTTTTGATTCTGTAAGCTTTTTCTCTGGTGTTCGAATCTTATTAATTTCAGGTCCAGGATTATTTGTATCACTTTTACCTAAGAAAATATTTTAAAATTTTTATAAATTTCCAGTGAGGATGTTATATTTCCAATGACTACCCAATATTAGACAAAAGAAAATATTTTAAACATTTTTAACCCATTATTATCAATTTGTATTATTGCTTGGGTTTTGTTCTTAAATTTTCAGAGGCAGTTTCTCTACAAGAAAGAAAATTTATAAATATAGCAAACCACATTGACAAGGCAAAAGCTTTATAAAAGGATATAATCTTAAAACATCAGATAATTCCAAAGATAACAACCCAATCTCCAGGTATTTACAGCCTAATTTTTCTTAAACTAGACATAAAAAAGAACATGGCATTCTTGCTTATTTATAAAGGCTCAAAAATTTGATCCTTTATAAATGCAATTAAGCAAAATCCAAATAACGTGTCAATCTAATTTAGTAAAGGAATCTAATCTGAGTAAAGATATTCTGAAATGTATGCATGCTGTTTAAAGGTAATAGATATTGAGCTAAATTTAAGTGAAAGAAGTAAAATTAAGTTTGAAAATATCACAGTTATAAAAGATAATGCCATTTCATCCATGTGAAAGGCTTCTACTATATAAGAATTAACTGATGGAAATTTTCAATTCCTGAAAGAATCCTTAACTTGGATTCTTGTTCAAAAACTTAAGGCCAAATCTTTAAAATGAATTACTACTAAACTTTAAGAAATAAGAACTACAATGTCTGAGATGAAACATACACTGGATGGAATTAGCAGCAGATTAGACAATGCAGAAGAAAAGATTAGTGAAGCTGAAGGCAAAATATGCAAAATAAAATACAAAAAGAAAATTGATATTTTTTTAAATGAAAAAGTGTATGTGAGGTGTAGGGAAACTTTAAGCAGACTAATATATGGGTAGTTGGAATTCCCGAAGAAGAGAGAAGGTAAGACAGAAAAAAAAACTAAAGAAATAAAGAATCAAAACTTTCCAAATTTGATGAAAACTGTAAACCATCCAAGAAGCCCAACAAATCCCAAACACAAGAAGCACAGAGAAAACTACACCAAGAAGTGTTATAATTGAATTATTAAAACCAGTATAAAAGAAACTCTTATAAGCAGGCAGGGGAAAAAGACACATTTCATACAGAAAGCAAACATAGGGGTGATTTCAGATTTCTCTAAAAAACTTCATCACCAGCAGACCTGCACTACAAGAAATGTTAAAAGAACTTTGGGCAGAAGGAAATTGTATCAGATGAAAACATAAATATATAGAAAAAAATAAAGATTACCAGAAATGCTAATTACATGGGTAATATAAAATATTATTTTTCTTATTAAAAACTTTTTAAAAAAATACACGGATATCTTAAGAAAAATAACATTTGGAGCCTATAACATATGTAAAAGTAAAATGCATTATAACAATAGGATAAAGTCTAGGAGAGGAAAAAAATGAAATGTTTTAAAGTTATTTTAGTGTACACGAAGTGGTAAATATAAATTGGGAAGTAGACTGTGTAAGTTTAAGATATATACTATAAACCTAAAGAAAATACTAAAATAATAAAGTTATAGCTAATAAGCCAATGAAGGAGACAGAAAAGGAATCATAAAAGTATTCAAATAATCCAAAAGAAGGCAGAGTAAAAGAAAAAAGGGGAAAAAAAAAAAAAACAGTTTGGACAAATTAAAAAACCAATAGAGCGAGATGATAAAAATCAAACCTAACTATATTAATAATCACCATAAGTATAAATGGTCTATACAATCCAATTAAAAGAAAGAGGTTATCATATTGGATTTTTTTAAAAAATCAAGGACCAACTATATGCTTTCTAAAAAAAAATGCATTTTAAATATAAATACAATAATAGATTAAAAATAAAGGGTCAATAAATGATGTACCGTGCTAACAATACTTAAAACAAAGCTAAGTGACTTTATTAACATTAAGCAAAGTAGATCTCAGAGCAAAGAATATTACCAGGGCTCAAGAAGATCATTCCATAATGATAAATTTGTTAATTAATCAAGAGCACAGTATTTTAAATGTCTATGTACCTAACAACAGAATTTCAAAATTTATCTAGCAAAACTTACAGAAAAATAGACAAGTACCAATTATATTTGAAGACTTCTATTTTTATTATTTTTAAAATATATATATACTAGAAGCCTGATGCATAAAGATTCATGCAAGAATGGGCATTCCTTCCCCTGGCTGCCAGCACCGCCTTCGCTCTGGTCAGAGCTGCCTGCCTGCCTTCCCACAATGCCCAGAGGCCCAGAGTGGCTGGGGTGGTGCGGAATGTCTGTGCCGTTGCTGACCTAAGTGTCCTGCCCTGCCCTGGCCAGTCAGTGCCTGTGTATTCAAATTACCCTGTCTTTGTTGGGTTGATTTGCATATTCACTCCTGTTTGGCTGTGGGCATGGCAAAGGAACAATTAGTACATTGCTCTTTTATTAGTGTGTGTGTGTGTGTGTGTGTGTGTGTGTGTGTGTGTGTATGTGTGTGTGTGTGTGTGTGTGTGTATTTTTTTAAATATGGAACGCTTCACAAATTTGCGTGTCATACTTGCAAAGGGGCCATGCTAATCTTCTCTGTATCATTCCAACTATAGTACTACTAAAGCGAGCACTTAAAGATATATTTTTTTTATTGATTTCAGAGAGGAAGGGAGAGGGAGAGAGAGATAGAAACAAGAATGATGAGAGAGAATCATTGACAGGCTGCCTCCTGCATGGCCCCTACAGGGGATCGAGCCTGCAACCCAGGTGTGTGCCCTTGACCGGAATCAAACCTGGGACCCTTCAGTCCACATGTCTTCTATACACTGAACCAAACCAGCTAGGGCATATTTGAAGATTTCAATATTCCTTTCAATATTTTTTTTTTTTAAGTAGGTAGAAAATCAGCAAGGATATAGCAGACTTAAGCAATCCTATCTAACAATTTGACCTAATTAACATTTAAAGAGCACTCCTTTCTTCTCAAGTGCACTCGGAAAATTTACAAAGATAGACCATGCAATGGGTCATAAAACAAATCTCAATTATTTCAAAAGGATTCGATTCATATAAAATATATTCTCTTACCACAATGAAATGAAAGAAGTCAGTAACAGAAAAATTCTTAGAAAATCTCCAATGATTAAAAATTAAAACTCACCTTCCTAAATAATCAATGGTCTAATTTGTAGAGAAATGATAAAATGTACAGAATGAAATGAAATAAAAATATAACACTGTACTACTGAGGAGGAAAATTATAACACTAAATACCTGTATTAATCTTTCACCTTAAAAATATATATGCAAGAGTTATATACTGAAAAGCTTTTTAAAAAATGAAAAAGATTTAAGATCTTGAGAGAGACATGTCCTCTTAATATATCAGAATACTCAATATTGTTTAGATGTCAATTCCCCCCATATTGACATCTAAACATTGACAGATTCAACACAATCCCAATCAAAATCCTAGCAGGCTTTTTTGTAGCAACTCATGAGCTGATTCTAAAATGTATATGGAAAAGCAAAGGACCTGGAATAGACAATTTTGAAAAAGAACAAAATTGGAAGATCTATATTACTGGATTTCAAGGCTTATAGAGCTATAGTAATCAAGACAGAGTATTTGGCATAAACACAAACATATGCATCAATAGAACAGAACAAACTTCACATAAGTAGTCAACTGATTTCCAAAAGAGGCACCAAATTATTAATAGTTTAATGGAAGGATAGCATTTTCAAATGCTGCTGAAACCACTGAATATATATACTACTATATGCAAAAACAAAATACAACCCCTTCAATTCTTACCTCAAACCATATACAAAAATTACCTCAAAATGAACCTAGTCTAAGAGCTAAAACTATGAAACTTATAGAAAAAAAGAGATGGTCTTTGTGATCTTGAATTAGGCAAAAAATTTTAGATTGTTATGAAAATGAAAAGGCAAGTCATATCCTGGGAGAAAATATTTCAAAACATTTGTATAATTAAAGACTTATATCCAGGATGTATAGAGAATTCTCATAATGCAACAAGACAAACCAATAAAAACTCAGGCAAAAATTAAGAATACATACTTCATTAAAGATATATAGATGTCAAATAAGCACAATAAAAAGATATTAAACATCATTATCAGGAACATGCAAATTAATACCATAATCAGATACTATCAGATAATCACTACCAAGGGTAAAGTTAAAAAGACTGACAATATCAATTATTGATAAAAATGTGGAGCAACTAGAAATCTCATACATTTCTAGTAGAAATGAAAAATGGTCCAGACACATTGGAAAATAGTATGGCAATTTCTTATGACATTTCAATCCTGGGTGTTTATCCAAGAGAAATGAAAATACATGTTCACACATATGTTCATAGCGCTTAGGAACCAAAAATTAGAAATAACTAGGGTGTCCATCAATTGACAAACAGATAAAAAATACTGTGATGTATCCATGTAGTGGAATATTAATCAACAGTAAAATGAACAAACAATTGTCACAGGTAATATGAATGAATCTCAAATGGATTAAGCTAAATGAACAAAGCCACACACAAAAAAATTACTTCCCCTAAGACTCTATTTATGATATGCTAAAGTAGAAACAAAAGTCAGATTAGTGGTTGTCCAGAGCTAGGGAATGGAGGAGACTTACCGCAAAGGGACATGAAGGAACTGCTTGAGGTCATGTGAATATCCTGTGTACTTATTAACAACTCTGTATATTTTGTCAGAGTATATCTAACATTTTAAAAGAGTGAATTTTATTGTATATAAGTTAAAAGTCAATAAACCTGATGTTAAAAATAGAGTAGGCCCTGGCCGGTGTGGCTGTTAGTTGGAGCATCATCCTGTGCGTGGAAAAGGGTTTGATTCCTGGTCAGGGCACATACTCAGGTTTCAGGTTCAATCCCCAGCTAGAAGGTATATGGGAGGCAACTGATGGATGTTTCCCTCTCACACTGATGTCTCTCTCTCCCCTTTCCTCTCTCTTAAATAAATTAAATAAATGTCCTCAGGTGAGGATTAAAAAAACAAACAAGCCAAAACCAATTTGGCTCAGTGGATAGAGCATCGGCCTGCGGAGTGGGGGATCCAGGTTCAATTCCGGTCAGGGGCATGTACATTGGTTGTGGGCACATCCCCAGTTGGGGTTGTGCAGGAGGCAGCTGGTCATTTTTTCTCTCTCATCAATATTTCTAGCTCTCTATCCCTCTCCCTTCCTCTCTGTAAAAAATCAATAAAATATATTTATTTAAAAAAAAAAACCAACAAATATATATGATGGCTAACTTTCCTTTATTTACAATTCTAAGAGATAAGAGACTATTAACTTGCATAAGAAACAACTAGTTTAAATCAATTATTGCCACGGCAGTGTTAATGTTTAATATATAACAAAAATATCTTGGACTAACAAAAATGTTTAACAGATAAGGGTTTTCTGTAAATGACTACCATTTAAAATACTTTAAATGTTAAAATTTAATATTTTTTCAGGAAATTGGTAATGCCAATTATAGCTGGTAGGTTACATGCAAATTTTATATGTGTGCATCTTCCAGAGAGAGTCCACCATTTTTATGTCAGATTTTTCTCAAATAGGTCTATGACCCATAAACAAGTTAACAATCATACTATGAAAGGAACTTTCTATGTTGATACAGGTTGGCATCTCATTAGTTTAGGAACATGAGACCAGCAAAGCAACTCACCATTTCGTTGTTGCTCATGCTGATCCTTCTCCTGATGCGGGTTCTGAGGCTGCGCTATGCTGACAGGGGGATGATGGCCAAGGCCATAAGGTAGAGGAGACCCCCGTCCATGCGTCTGTAAGAGGTTCATATTGTAGGCCATCGCTGCCTGGTGTGTAATGATTCGAGGATCAACTGCAAACCTACCCTGGTATCCTGTCCATGGTACCTAGGTTATTACAAAACACAAAATAATTTCATTATGTACATTTTGGAAGGCAAACTTCAATAGGAAAAAGCAAACTCACACAGAGAAATGTTAATTTTATCAAAATGAGTAAGTATAGTCAGTGTTAATGACAACGATTGATAGAATTACTGCTAAATCTCAACTAGCCTGAAATGGCTCCCTGAATCTTTAGTGTGTAAGGGAAAATTTATCACTGTACAGGTTAGGAGGAAACTGAGAACTTAAAATTGGTAATTATTTCTTGAAGCATTAAATCATCTTATAATCTTAAATCATTTCCCCTCAATATAAATGTATACATCTCACAGATTATCCTGAAAATTATCTCTTAAAGTCCTAAGTGCATAGTTATAGTGTCTAACAGACTGAATAAGAGAACCAGGGGGAAAATTAAGAAACAATTTAGTTTAAGGAATTTCAACTCAAAAAAATAGGTATTCTAACTTTATATGAATAATCCAATCATTTAATGTTCATTTATGATATAAGCAAAATTTTAAAAGGTCATTCAATTAATCAATGCTTTTGATTAATTCAACTCTTCCTTTAAGTACAGAAACAGAAAATTTCTTTAGGTGTGTGTATATATATATATAATCCCTCTATATTAACATAAAAGGGATAAATATAATACAAATGACATCTGAGCTACCTTCCTATTATTTTATTATAACTGCTAAATGCAGACTCTGAGAAATCTTATATAATAAAAGCCTCTTTGACCTAGTAAAATGAAATATAAATCCTAAGGGACTTACTATTTAAAGCAGATGATGTATAATGTTGCCAGGCTGTCTGGGAAGAAATAACTCAGCTAAAATTAAAATCTGTGGGGAGTGGGCATGAATTACATATTTCTTACTGACAGTTTTTTCATTGGCTGCTGTGATTGTGAATTATTATGATCAATATGACTGAGAAATGTTTGCAGCTTGGCATTTTTCCATTTTGGGGGTGTGGGCAGGGGTGCCAAAGATCCTTGGCAATGATTATCTCTGCCTGATATTACAGCACTTTCCTTAAATGAAAGAAAGGTTTTCTAGCTAAAATTCCTAAATTTGGAAATATTACTATATCAACAAATTAACAAAATTATCAAAATATTCATTATGTTAAAGGAAATAAAAATGAAGTTTTACACAAGATGGAAGCTCTCTAAAGATCACAGTCTAAGAAATATTTAATAATGTTTTTAAGTACCAATACGATTTTATAAGGTGTCAAATTTCTCAGATAAATTTAGACTCAAGGGAGTTAGACTAATCTAACCTTCTTTGCTTCCTCCAAAGAACTACATTTCTTAGGAAGAGTTAGTGAATTATCTATATATAAATATAAGCCTAATCAACCATAAAGATCCAATTACCAGAATGACCAGTTGCTATGATGCACACTGACCACCAGGGGGCAGACGCTCAATGCAGGAGCTGCCCTCTGGTAGTCAATGCACTCCCACAGACAACCTCCCCTAATCGGGGCTTGGAGATTCCCCCTTCCCCAACTCAGCCCAGGGCTGTGGTGGGGAACCAGGATGGGTGGCAGCTGACACAACCAATGCTTCCTCTCCCTGGCCCACCAGGGTCTTCGGGCCCTGATCAGCCCAGCCCTGATCGCCAGCCAAGCCTAGGGACCCCACCCATGCACGAATTTTGTGCACCAGGCCTCTAGTACAAGAATAAAATGCAAAAGATAAAAGAAAAACATCACTTTATAAAACAAGAGACCAATTTACTAGCTCTGTTAACTTTTGGCTCAATTTCCCAGTAAAAATATTTTAAAAGAATACAAAGAATCAAAATATCCAATTTACAGATTTCTTCATAGCCACTGATAATCTAATAAGCAAAAATTCACATTTCTTTGGTCATTTCAAAATTAGAAGGTTAAAGATAAGAACTGCTTAAAAAAAACTTACATGCATTGAAAAGTTTTTATAAAAAGAGGTTATATTTTATATAGAGAGGTAGGACATTATATGGGACAGTCACTACTTTAGTGAAGCCTATTTTATTTTATTCAATAGTATCTCAAACATCCACTTACAGGTAAAGGCACCGACATAACTACATTCCCTCCATAGACAGCAGGTACATAAAGAATACTTGTCCCAGTGTGAGGATCTATTCTCTGGACAGGGCTTGGAGATTTTCCCAAATTTGGATGAGGTCCAAGAGGAGGTGGAGGAGTGTATGCTCTAATAGGATTGCCAATAAGAACGGAAGGATTGGGTTGAACTGAAAAAAAAAAAAAAAAATAGAGAAAGGGTATATTCATTAGCTGTACAATTCACCTAGACAAAAATAACTTGAATCATCCAACAGCAAAATATATTTCCCAAGTTTGCCACAAGATATCTTAAAATCAAAGAAGTATTAGTGTGGAAGACTATGCATATTAAATAAACATAAGATAACCATTTTTAAATGTTCCCTAAAATTAACTTGAGATATGCAAAGTATTTTCTTTATAAACTAGCATATTTTTAAATGTCCTTTGAGGCTGGAGATGTGCCCTTCAAGGGAGAAAACCATGCGCACACCTACACTCTCAGTAAACATTCTCCAAGACTAGGAAAATATATACAAGTCTTCAGAATAAAGTTTTGACTGGCAATTGTAATAAAGCCACATACCAAGTGAAGGATAAGTAATTATTTTAAAGGCATAATTCTGTAATATTTTAAATAATTGATATAAACTTTATGTTGAATTTTGTATGACTCAACATTTATAAGATATAAATATGTTCCAAAAACTTAGGTTACATAGAAGGCTTAAATGCTTTTCCTGTTTCTGGATATGTACTTTGATACCTACAAAATCACCCTTTGTAAGAAATGACATATGAGCTGAAACTGGTTTGGCTCAGTGGTAGAGTGTCGGTCTGCGGACTGAAAGGTCCCAGGTTCAATTCCAGTCAAGAGCATGTACGTTGGTTGCGGGCACATCCCCGATAGGGGGTGTGCAAGAGGCAGCTGGTCGATGTTTCTCTGTCATTGATGTTTCAAGCTCTCTATCCCTCTCCCTTCCTCTCTGTAAAAAATCAATAAAATATATAAAAATAAAAAATAAAAAGAAATGACATATGAGTTCTGGCCAGGTGGTTGGAGTGTCATCCCATACACTAAAAGTTCAGGGCACATATCCAGGTTGTGGGTTTGATCACTGGTGGGAATGTGTATAGGAGACAACTGATCAATATTTCTCTCTCACATTGATGTTTCTCTCTCTAAAAACATTTCTCTCTCAATAAAAATATTTCCTCGGGTGAGGATTAAAAAAGAAGAAATGATATATGAATAGAAGAGTTAAATGAGTTCCAAAGTGTGTGTGTGTGTGTGTGTGTGTGTGTGTGTGTGTGAGAGAGAGTTTGTGTGTGTTTCCCTCTTCCCACCTTTCTCTTTCAAATGATGAAATGTATGGTAAATACCATATCACAAAAGTGAGTTTTCATAGGGCTAATGTTTCCACTTACCAATTCCATCATTCTGGAAATGATCATTCTGAAGGAGGCTTTTCCCCTTTACAGGAAAAAAAAAAAAAAAGCAAACACACTTAATATTAGAGAACAATACTAGTTTCTACTCCTATGCAAATCACATGTATGCAGCAACAATTAAAATGTAAAGACTACAAACTCGTAATTAATAACCATTAGACTGTTCTGAACTTTTTTTTTTTATAAATATTAAAGTCATGGCGTTACATGTTCTTAGCTTTTCAAGTTAAGGATATCTAAAATTATTTTTTCGTAATAATCTACATATATAAAACCCTAATATGCAAACAGACCAAATGGTGGAACAACCGAACAACTGGTCACTATGACGTGCACTGACCACCAGGGGGGGCAAGCAGAACATGGCGAGTGTCGGCTGCAGTGGGATGGTGGAGCAGGTGAGCGGGGCTGCCAGACCAAGGCGGGGCGCTGTTCCCTGTCACAGGGCGAGCCTCTGGTGGTTACTGAAAACTCTTGGCTCCCACGCTATGCGTCCCACTCAGCGTTTGCACCTGCTGCCGGTGCCAGCCCCACTCCCACCCGCTGCCAGTGCTGGAGCCACTGTTCACACCCACTGCCAGTGCCGGTCCCACTCACACCTGCAGCTGCCGCCGGATCTGCCACTCACACCCACTGCCAGAGCCCAGTGCCGGTCCTGACTGCTGGGTGCCCTCAGCAGGTGTGAGTAGTGGCTGCCAGCCCTGATCACCCCTATGGGCTTCTCCACCTCCCCCTGTTCCTGAGGGGATGATTGGAGCAGCAGCTGCTGCTCGCACCCTCTGACAGTGCCAGCCCTGCTCACACCTGCTGCTGGTGCTGACCCCAACCACTCCAAACTGTCAGTGGATCTAAGCAGGGCTAGCACCATAGCCGTGGAAGCTGTGGTGGTGGGAGCAGGGCTGCTGGCAAAGAGGGAACTGGGGGGGCAGCAGCAAGAGAGGCCAGGCTGGGGCACGGAGGATGGGCTGAGACCTGCCCCTGTACCCACCACAGCCTCATAGCCCACAGTTCCTTTCAAGGTGCATGAATTCGTGCACTGGACCCTAGTTTTTTATAAAAATAAATATGCAACCAATATGACTGAAACCTAAATTCTATTCCTTTGCATTTTCTCTGTAAATTTTCCATGAAATAAATAACAAAATGTAAAAGTTGTATTTCAAGGGGAAAATATTAGTCTTCTATTCTTGAGGATGAGAACCTTTAAAACAATAACATGGCCCTAGCTGGTTTGGCTCAGAGCGTCAGCCTGTGGACTGAAGGGTCCCAAGTTCAATTTCAGTAAAGGGCACAGGCCTGGGTTGGGTGATCAATCCCCAATAGAGGGCGTGCAGGAGGCAGCCTATCAATGACTCTCTCTTATCACTGATATTTCTCTCTCTCCCTCTCTCTTCCTCTCTGAAGTCAATAAAAATATATTTTAAAAAACACACAATAACATGAATATAACTATGGTTTGGGATTTACAATAATTTGAGTATGATCCATGGCATCTTAAAGTGTATAATTTATTGAATAAAAAAACAGAAAGACACGCTGCCATAATGTACTTAAGAGAATATACAAATTTTCCAGAAAAAAATTTGGCAATATCTATTGAAAGCATCCAAAATGTACATACACTTTAACCCAGTAATTGCACTTTCAGGGATATCTCCAAATGAAATAATAATGGATTTGGCACAGATGTTCATCACAGCATTGTTTATACATGGGATGATATGTTAACAACCTAAACATCCATCAATGAAGGATTTACTAAGTAAGCAATGGCAGATTCATATAATGGTATACTAACCTACTGTTAAAAATGATGAGTTTAGAGCAGAAACAGTATTTGAAGAGACAAAGGTACTGAATTTGTGGACTTGGCTAAAAAAATTTTCTTTTTGTTTCCATTGGCTAAATGTAATACATGAAGCCTTTATAAAACATAAGTAACACATTATACAATTTACCCTTAGACACGTACAAATTGCCATTTGTACATGATATCTGACAGTTAAAGGGGAAGATAATGTCTATAGCAAGAAGAAAAACCCATTCTTGACAAGAGCAAAAGTACAGTGATGCTTCATTTATCTCTGTTAGCAACATTAAATATTCACATCAGTACTAAACATCAAAGGTCAGTTGGTTAGTTATAAATGTGAAAGGACAGCTAAGTTCTAACTTTAAAAAATAAAAATAAAGTCAAAATAGAATCATATTTGGTCCATTAGCCAGAAGAGAATCTTTACAGTGATTGGCACTAGCTATAAAATACAAACTTCTGAGGAACAGAGAAGTGATGACAAAAGCAGGCAGGAGAAAGGAGGAAAAGTGAAAAGGAGAAGATGGCAGGCAGCAGAGCTGGCAGAGAAGGTGGAAGATCAGAAGGAGAGCAATTAGAAGTGACAACAAGAGCAGTCAGGGGCACAGGCACTGACAGAGGAAACAAGAGCTGAGAGCCGAGGACATAGACGATAAGACAGTTCTAAGAGGATAACAAGCCATTTAGATTTCCTAGTCTCTAAGGACCCATCAATCAGGGGCAACTGTGTAGTATGTGAAGAAAACATAGTGGTTTAGGCAGGGTGGGAGGCAGGATGGCCCCCCAAAGATGTCCACACCCTAATCCTTAGAACTCCTGAATTTGTCATGTTATGTGGCAAAAAAGACTTTGCAGATATAATTAAAGTTATGGGTTTAATATAAGATTATCCTGGAGTATCTGTTCATATAATCTATTGACATGAACACTAAAAGCAGAGCAATTTCTCCAGCTGGGGTCAGAAGATGCAGAAGAAGGAAAGGGAAGATATGATGGAAGGGGGAGCCAGAGAGATTCTAAGGGAGAGAAGGCTCTGAGATGCAGGAACCACATGTGAGAACTGGAGAATAGATAATATTCAGAAATGGATCCTTTGAAAAGACCAAAGCAATATTTTATAGGTTTTAGTTTGTGAGTTGTTTTTCCCCATCTATCCTCTGAATAGTTTTTATAGTGTGTGAATCTGTTCAATTTTATCAAAGCTTCAAACTTTGCTCCCAGCAAGTGCCCTAGGAGGAAGCAGAATGAAGACAGGGATAATGGTTTTCTCCCGCTAATTCTGCAGGCGCCCGTGAAAGGCATCGTTATAAATGCCTGGAGGGAGGGAGGCAATGAGGACTGGCTAAATTACTCACTCCTGGGTCCCCTAACATTTTGTACCTTTGCTAAGCCTTATCACAGAACTGAATTTTAGTGGGAGAATAAAGTTATTTCTAAGCAGCAAGAGGTATGTTTTGTTGACAAACAGCCCTGAGGTAGCAGTTCCTGGAACATTTTTCACCATGATCCAGTCTTCTGGTGATTTTATCTATATGAAATCTTATTGGGATTTTAAAACTTAGTCTAACGTTGAGATACTAATTTTTAATATTTCTTATGCCCTGAATTGTGCTGACAGTTGAATATTAAGAAAATCTAAGGAGAATCGTATGGCTTAGTACAGTGGTTGGCAAACTGTGGTATGCAAGCCACATGCGGCTCTTTGGCCCCTTGAGTGTGGCTCTTCCACAAAATACCACGGCCTGGACGAGTCTATTTTGAAGAAATGGTGTTAAGTTTAAAAAATTTGGCTCTCAAAAGAAATTTCAATCGTTGTACTGTTGATATTTGGCTCTGCTGACTAATGAGTTTGCCGACCACTGGCTTAGTATCATGTTTTCAGAAATAGCACCTTTTACTAACAATGAAGTAAGTTTTCCTTTACCAAAAGACACCAGCACATACAAAATAAATTATCTAGGATTTGTTTCAAAATTTTCTAGCGGGTGTATGTGATGGTGGTAGAGTGGACAAAATGGAATGTAGATGAAACAGGATTAAGTTAATTAATGAAGTTGAATGATAACGAATTTGTTATACTATTCTCTCTATTTAATTAAATGTTTGAAATTTTCTACAATAGAAAATTAAATAAAAAGGGACACCAGTACAAATTCAAACCTCAAAACAATGTCATGGAAGTAAAGAAAATACGAAGAGAGGAAGGAGGAAAGGTGATAGCAATAAATTTTGGTTCACAATAATTCAGTTACTTATGCTATTGATTATTGCATATGATATAAATAATAATTTACAATAACCATGTAGATAGATAATTTGGTGAACCACTGTACTATTGACAGAAAAATAACAGATACTATCGACTAGTTCAGTGAAGATTCTCTAAAAAGTTTTTAAAATTGGGGAGGTTGCTGCTTTGAACTTTAATTTCACAGTTTTCTCATTGAAAGAAAAAAGCCACACTACTGGCTGCATGATACCTGTTATTCACTTATCAGATACTTACTGAGCACCCGCTATGTGCTTAAACTTCAGGGAGTTTGTGGTTTTGGAAGAGCAAGTGGATCCAACATATATTTTCTTCACCTTTAAAATAAAACCAGCCTAGTGGTTTGGCTCAGTGGGTAAGCATTAACCTATGAACCAAAAGGTCACTGGTTTGATTTCTGGTCAGGGCAATTGCCCGGTTTGCTGGGTTTCAGGCTCTATCCCCAGTAGGGAGCATGCAGGAGGCAGCTGATGAATGGATATATTTCTCATCGATGTTTCTATCGCTCTCCCTAAAATCAATAAAAACATATTTAAACCAAAACAAAAAGCAAACTGCAGGATCTTGCTTAGGTTCAGCAGACATCTGCTATCATGGCTTGAATCTAGCTGAATCTATAGCACATTAATTGATGCTTACTTTGCTCAATTAAAGGAAGAATTTATTGTACTTAAGAATGTGCAAAGGGTATAATGACTTTGCAACATTTTAAATAAAAATAAAATGTAAACATTTCTACCTGGGGTCCCAGCTCCTCACATACCCAAAGCTAAAGCTTTTTGCATAAACTCTTTCTTGAGCTTCACTCACTCATCTAAAAATACTTCAAAGCATCTAAGATGAGCCAGATGTTGTACTAGGCACAGAGGCTAAAGCAGTAACTAATACAGGTAAAAATCTCTGCCCTAATGGAGCACATATTCTATTTTTGACATGTCTCCCCAATCTTCCACTACCTCTACCCACTCAGTAGACTCCTAAACAAGACCTGGCCATACCCTCCAACATCTGCCACTGGAGGCTAATTTGCTTATCTCTACTTTTCTAGCACCTAACATAAAGAAACTTAACTGTTTGACTTAAAAGCATATTTATTAGCTGAAACCGGTTTGGCTCAGTGGTAGAGCGTCGGTCTGCGGACTGAAAGGTCCCGGGTTCAATTCCCGTCAAGGGCATGTGCCTTGGTTGCGGGCACATCGCCAGTAGGGGGTGTGCAAGAGGCATCTGGTTGATGTTTCTCTCTCATCGACGTTTCTAACTCTCTATCTCTCTCCCTTCCTCTCTGTAAGAAATCAATAAAATATATTTTAAAAAATAAATAAATAAAAACATATTTATTAATAGCTTAAGCTTTAGAAATCTAGAAGGTTCATTTAAGTAAAATTCTTAATCCCTGAGTAACCCCAAGTCACTAACACATTATTGTACACTAGAGGCCCAGTGCACGAATTCATGCACCGTGGGGTCCCTGGGCCTGACCCGCAGGGACTGAGAAGAAACTGGCTCTCTGACATTCTCCACGGGGTCCCGGATTGTGAGAGGGCACAGGCCAGGCCGAGCAAGCCACAGTTTGCCGACCACTGTACTAAGCCATACGATTCCCCCTTAATGTTCAACTGTCAACACAATTCAGGGTATAAGAAATATTAAAAATTAGTATGTCAATGTGAGAGGTTGGTCAGCGGGGAGGGACCGCAGGAGGCTCCAGGGCATGTCCAGCCCATCTCTCTCACACTGCCAGACCCCAACAGCAAGCTAACCTACTGGTCGGAGCATCTTCCCCCCTGCTGGTCAGTGCAGGTCATAGCAAGTGGTTGAGCAGCCTTAGTATATCATTAACATATTACGCTTTGATTGACTGAACAGCCGACAGGTGGACCAGACACATAGCATATTAGGTTTTTATTATATAGGATTAGATTCATTTTTATTAAACTAAGAATATACAACAGTATATTAACATAGAAAGTAGTTCTATTTTCAGCTAACTACCTATTTAGCTAAAAAACTTTCCAGATAATAAACCATTAATTATTGCTTACACATTAGGTTTTATGTTTTTTAAATGGAGCCCAAAACTGCCATACTCTATTAAATACCATGCTGATACCTATAAATACACCAAAACACTGGAACAAATACTAAACATATCATTTTCACAACTTTCTGTTCTAGATGATGTGTATTTTTTAAGGCAGTCTAGTAAATAAACCAGCTGTCTCTGCCCCAAATAACTATGGTTCAAATGTAGAAATGGCTTTGACTCTCCCACCTCCACTTCCTCTGACTGGATTACTTCTTATACAACAAATATAGGTCAAAATCAACTAAACCTTCAAGTTGGCCACATTTTCTCACTGTGGCAAATATCACCTGTAATGAACTAGTATTGAAATAAACATGTCTAGTATTGTGGAACATACAAAATATGCTCTCAATTAATTTTTGAGATCAATCGCAAGTAACATGGCCAATGCTCAACTATCCACATGGACCTAGAATGATGATTTTTGTTATCCATAATAAATAACTATTTCAAAACAGAGAACTCATTTTATAGAAGATGTGTACTTCCAGGCTTACTTAATCAAGAAAAGATTAGACCTATTTTCTTCACACAGATATTACTATAATGTTATTCCTTATAACATATGATTTTAATAAGTGTGCTAGTCTAGTCTTTTAAATTAGCTTTGTTTTATTCACATCTTGCTAAAATAAGTCTATCAGTAGAGAGGGCTAGGAGATTATATTATTCGAAGAACACAAGAAGAAAAGAGGTAATTGAAAACTTTTTGAGGATGATCAAGACATTAACCATGGCTAAACACCACACTGTATTTCCTCACTAGACAACTTCCTTTCAGAAACTGCTTGCTGAATACTTCGAGTAACTAGCAGCTCAATAAACCTTTGACACCTCTGCGCTTCTGTCCCTTTAGCCTCTTCAATTTCATTAACAGGCTTTACCTTGGGAGGTGACTGCTGCAGCTTGTTGGCACTTCCTGAATGCTGCAGTCTTAGAGCGCGGGGGATAAATTCGGGTGCCAGTGGATTCAACACATACGTCTTCTTTAGTTCTAAAGCCTCTAGTTGAGCTTTGATCTGTTCAAAAGTGATCCCGTGTAGGCTATTATTTTCGTGACACAGGGCAATAAACCGCTCCCAAAATTTCCTACAGAAAAGATTTAGAAGATCAGTTTACAATTTCAGTGGATGAGAGCACAGAAATAAACATAAGCTACTGAAGATGATTTCAAATTTCCTTCCCCCACACTAAACTCTTCAGGTTCGATATTCTTCTATGATTCAGATATAATCTTCCCACTAAATCACAAAACTTCAGAGATATAAAATGTCATTTCCATCAAAGTGACACGCACACAAAACACCCCCTCGGGATCCTTGCATTGGCTGTTCCCTTCCTGGATCACTTTTCCCCCAGGCGTGCACAGCACACTCCCTCACCACCACCGTCAGCTTCTCAGCGAGGCCTCCTCTGACCACACTGGGACAATCAAGCCAGCCCACCCCACCCGTCATTCCTAATTCCCATTCATGTGCTATTTCTCTTCCATTCAACTTACCACGTAAAATACGACACTATCTTATTTTGTTTATTGTCAGTCTTCTCCCCCTCCCCCCCCCAATAATAAGTAAGCCCGTCAAAAGCAGAGATTTTTGTCTATTTCATTCACTGACCTGTCTTCAGTGGCTAGAAGAGTGTTTAAAACATAGTAAGCACTGGAGAAATATCTGCTGACTGATGACTGAATGAATAGGTACACAATTATGTTTAAAATAGACTCAAAGCAATATATTTTTGTGTTCCTTCTGTTTATCAGGTAAAGTTAAACTTGATTTTAATTAGCCAAGAGGTCATATAAACAAATGCACACATAGGTGTACAAATTACTCTACATTTCCCCCTTTAATGTCTCAAATCAGTAACACATAATTACCTGCATCTTCCAATGGAGCACAGAGCAATGGGATCACCCACGACAGCAACCAGGGACTGTGCTCTTGTGATGGCAGTGTTGAGAAGTTTGTAGTTAGATAAAAAACCATAATCTAAGTCCTCTGTGGAATCTTCCAGCAGTTGTTCTTTCTTTTTAATTGGTGTCTGTTTATGTTTACAAGTATGCCTTGTTCGTACTGTGCTAAGAAACAAAACTCTGAATTGCTTTCCTATTAAAAATAAATAAAAAAGACTTAAGATTGTTATTCTGAAGCACTAATAAAATAAAAGCATTTCTTTTTTTTGTCTTTTTTAATGTTATTGCTAAATGGCAGGTATTGGCAAGGATGTGGAGTAACTGGAACTCATGCACTGCAGGAGAGAATGTAAAATGGTATATAAAACACTATGGAAAATAGTTTGGTTCCTCAAAAAATTAAACATAGAATTAACATGATCCTGCAATTCCACTTCTGGGAATCAATCCAAAAGAATTGAAACAGGGACTCACACAGATATTTGTATACCCATGTTCACAGCAGCACTATTCAAAATAGCCAAAAGGTGAAAGCAACCCATGTATCAGCAAATGAACACATAAACAAAATGTGTATATACATATAATAAAATGTTATTCAGCCTTAAAAAGGCTGAATGTGTATATACATATAATAAAATGTGTATTACATATAATAAAATGTTATTCAGCCTTAAAAAGAAATTCTGACACATGCTACAACCTCATGAACCTTGAAGATATTATGCTAAATGAAATAAGCCAGTCATAAAAAAACAAACAGTGTATTACTGCACTCAAATGAGGTACCTAGAGTAGTCAAATTCATAGACAGAAAGTACGATGGTGGTTGCCAGGGACTGGGAAGGAAAGGGAAGTGGAATGAACACATAAAAATGGTAAAATGGCAAATTTTTAAAAAATTTTAGTGTTGCTGGAACCAGCCTTAGAGATTCCAAAGTCCCACTCAATACAAGGAACTTTCATTAAAGCAGGGTCATCTAACCTCTTGCTGATTCCATAAGGAAGCCTTATTGAGTACAGTTTATACAATAATTTCTAATGCTCTTTCTTATAGTAACACATACATTCCCTCATTCTTGACAGACCTCCAAATACTTGAACACAGTTTTCACATTAGTCTTTTCTTCTGTAGGCCAAACAATCCTACTTCTTTCAACCATTCCTAACTCCCACGTGGCAGCTTCTATAACTAGATCTCCATTGGGTGCGTCCTAGTACTATCTTTCTAAAATGCACCCAAATTCTGTGTGATCTGGACAACAGCTGGTATAAGGGAGAGTTATTTTCCCCCGTGATTTAGAAATTATATTATTCTTACTATTATATATTACCATGAAACCTGAAATTGTACTGGGCTTTTTTAGCATTTACATCATGGTGTTGTTTAATATATTTAAAAGCACAAATTTTATAGCAACTAGTTGCTGGTAACCATTCACTTAGGAAAATCTGTAGATGGAAAACAATCTGTGCCTTTAAAAATGCATTTAAGCATAACTTGCTTGACAGGTACAAACTTATAAAAATCTTTATGAACAAATTAGTCCTCAGAGTATAACAGCGATTGGGGGCAATTGTATGATATAGATAGCGTGTGTGATTTATACAATTACAGTCATAGAAAAAGTTAATTTGTTCATACTTCTTTTATTTGGATATAAAAAATCTAATCTTATATAATAAAGAGGTAATAGGTAAATTAACCCTCACGCCCTAACAAGATGGCTGCCTACAACCAGGCCGGCAGGGGGTTAGTGAGGGATGACCAAACTACTAAACAGCAGGCTGTGTGGGGCGACCAGGCTGGCAGGGAGGGCAGTTGAGGGGCGACCAGGCTGGCAGAGGGGGGCAATTGGGGATGACCAGGCTGGCAGGGAAGTGCAGTTAGAGGTGACCAGGCCATCAGGAGAGGGCAGTTGAGGGCAATCGGGCCAGCAGGGGAGTAGTTAGAGGGGCAATCAGGCTGGCAGGCAGAAGCAATTAGGGGCAATCAGGCAGGCAGGCAGGTGAGTAGTAGGAGCCAACAATCCCAGATTGGGCCTAAACCATCAGTCAGACACCCCCCCGAGGGATCCCAGATTGGAGAGGGTGCAGGCTGGGCTGAGGGACATCCCCGCAGTGCCATGAATTTCGTGCACTGGGCCTCTAGTAAATATATACATGAGCTCAACCTTTAATTGCCAAATTTGGCATCAAAGAACTTGATATGAAATGAAGACATAATTATTTGTCCAGGAAAGAGATCTTGAGAATTAAAAATCCAATGTGCATACATTTTAAGACTTCAGAATCTGAATAACTTAGTTTGTTTCAATTAATACTTACCTTGAACATTTAGCACCCTTTCTACATTAACATCAGATAATCTCTTTTTTCGAAGTTCAGCACGTATCCTAAACACTTGATCAGCATACGGAGTCACCACACCGATACTGCCATCATCTAACTTCCCCCACGCTACTGGCCACTTCCTTCTTAACTCTTCCACACGTTCCACCACTTCAAATACCTTTAAACAAACATACATACACATATTAAAGTTATGTAAGTGTTTAGAGAAAAGAATATGGTAACAGAAATAGATGTATAAAGGATTCCATTTTATCATTTTAAAATTACATCTAAATAAGAATGCTTTGCTTTTATAAACACATTAAGAGTTCAAACGTTTTATTTACATTTCAAACAGTAAATTCTATAATAATGCACCCAGTGAAAACATGAAAATGAGAGACAATGTAATTGGCAACTGGCCCCACCCTTTACCCAGTCTCCTCCATTCTTAAATAAGGTGTGGTTCAAGTTCCTATGTAGGAAGTAGGACAAAGATATAGCCATAAAACTGACAACCCCATCTAGGGAGACACAGAAGCAAGTCCTGACAGTCTCAGTAGTTCTCAGTTCACTCTCTCCAGATCAGGCTAAAGAACCTAACCACCAACTAGCGTTTTCTAGAGTGAGTGCCACCATTCAGCCTCAGCAATGCAAGGTCTAGCACTGCCCCTCCTCCACTGATACAACTAAGCAGAGCAGCCAGCAGCTGGCACCTAACCACTGCTGGGACTAGGACAAATGTGGATCAAAGAGACAGACCTTCAGAATTCACTGCTATCTAGCAGTTCAAGTTTGCCCAAGCTATTTCATGAACCTTGCAATAAAGTAATTTCAAACATTTAAAAAAAAGGTTTATCTTTTCTTAAAATTAAATGGCACAGACTAACTGAATGTCAAGTTTCTTGCTTTCAGCTGGGATTTTATCAAGTGGGTGCTATTGATTTTCTTGTACTAACTTCTAAATACAGGCCTCTGATCAATTTTTAAAAGAAAAATGAATTGCTATTATATCATAAAAGCCATGTCTTTGAAAATAAAATGAGTAAAGAATAGGACTTAAGGAACAAAGCAAGATGGATATCGTAGATCAAGAGCAGTTCCCCTAATGACTAACCAGGAACCTCTCCTCAACCCTCCTCTGAGTTTCCTGAAGTCCATGCACTGTGATAACCAGAACTTATCTAAAGGGTCTCTGGCTTGCTGGCCCCCTAAAGACTTCACCAACTTTTTGTCTGCTGCCCAATCTGACCCCTCATACTACTCACACACTTCTGAAATTAAAGTCACATTGTAAGAGGACCATACAAGTTGTAGCACATCACGGGTTAGCAACATCATCTCAGTCTATGTGATCTCTCTGGAGTACAGGATTCTGCAATTCAAGTCTTACTCACTTAAAATGATATGTCATTTGAGTATGCATTATAAAATATAATCAGTCTATTTAGATGGCTAACAATAATCCTATCCTATATAATAAAAGCACAATATGCAAATCGACTGAATGGCCGAACAGCGGAACGACCATCTGGGGCAGGTGCAATGTGACTGGTCGGGGGCCCAGCCATGGCCCTATGATCACCTGCAGAGGGAGGCTCAGGCCATCGGCCGGTGGGGAGGTCAATCAGGGTCTCCACAATCGCCCAAAAAAGGGAGGCCCAGGCCACTGACCAGCGGCCTGCAGCAGGTGGGCAGGGCCTCCCTTGCATGGGAAGCCAGGGTCCCACAGCCGGTGTCAGCAGCCCGGGGAAGGAAGCCTACTCTTGCACAAATTTCATGCATCAGGCCTCTAGTAATATATATAAAATAACACCAGCTTTTCTTTTCAATGAAGTCATGTATTTTGTATTTTATCGTAAAACAAGTAATTCAAAGGTTTTGTTTCCTACAGATTCATCTTAACCATTCAGTTACGCAAGAAAGAATGAACTTTACATACTATTTTCATGTAAATGAAGTTAACACCCAATAAGATGTCAACTCAAAATTTTAAATAAATGCTCTCAACAGGACCAGACTATGTGACTGTGAAATTTTAACAATTTGCAAAAGAACTAAGATACCTCTGCATTATTAAAATAAGCTGTGCTATTTTTTTCTTGTACATCTTCCCCTCGAGCTGTAAAGAAAGTGAGTGGGTAGAAATCCTTGTGTGCTGGTTGCTTTCCACTGGCCATCAGTTTGCCCTCATAGAAGAGCTCAGAGGTGTAACTGCAGAAAAAGACCAAAATAAATAAATAAAGAGCAATCTATTATCAAAATTCAATTCATCCATAAGAAAATAAATATATCAGTCAATTCTAAAACTGTTGTTTTATGTCCATGATTAATTTTAATCCAAGCCATCTAATACCAATGAGGCCAAGGTTTTCTCCAAAAATCACAGCAATGGCATCAGAATAGACTCCAAATTGCTAAATGAACTGATTTAGGTAAGGTACAAAGCCAGAATACAAAAAAGAAAAGGAATAAATGATGACAGTTCAATACTAGATAATAATCTTACTCTGTGAGGAAATGTGCTAGCTAGTATATTTTCTTGGTTAATACGTTTATAACATATATATGCAAACAAAGATATTCAGATATTGAAACAATACACACAACTGAAGGACATTCAAGTCTTCAACAATAAAATGAATGCATTTTGCAGATGAAGATACAAGCTAGAACTTGATTCATCAAGGACTGCAGCAAGTGACTGACAACAATCACAAAGGAAGCACATACTGCGATATTAACAAAGCCACAGTTAAATCTAAATTTTTATATTTATTCTATTGGTTTCAGAGAAATCTAAAAATGGTTTTCAGATGACCTACATAATCAACATTATTAAATCATACTAAACTTTAAAACACTAAGTTTTTGGTTGAAGGAGGGTCTTTCCAGAGTGCTGGGAATGTTCTGTCTAATGATCTGGGTGCCAGTTAGAGGGATGTACTCAGTTTATGACTATTCCCTGAGCTGTCACTTATGATATTTTTATTTTTATGGATGTGCATGTATATTATATTTAATAGAATCCTTTATAAACTTTATTACTAAATTTCATGGTTTTCCTTCCTCCCTTTCTTCCTTTCAGATTCCTTGTACAAGACAGACACAATAAGCAAACCATTATGTAGTTTATCAACATATTTATTTATTACATCACATAGTTTTACATGTGTACTATATATTCAGTCACAGAAAAATATATCATAGCTAGTATGGCCTAAAGTGTTATTTTCCAGAATTGCCCTATTCTGTGAAAAATTACAGCTCTGACTTTTTAAGTTTCTTTTACAAACATACAAGTGAACATAATCTGCAACTCAGGAGACCATGTGACACTGCTGGGAATAATCGGTCCCTAGAAACAGTTTTGATCACAGGAAGTGTGGTACAGAAAGGGCATTTCACACCTACTTGATGATAGCTTCATGGGAGCGGTAGTTCTCACAGAGGAGGATCCTGCACGGGAACTCAGCAGGGTAATGCTCATAGAGTCGATCAAGTAATGAAACATGAAGGTTTCTCTCCCTGGCAAACTCGCTGTAAACAAAAGGACTGAGCTGTAACAGACAAACATACAGAGAAAACTTAATTAAATATGTGAATAGTATTTTTTAACCTACTCATTAAAAAATCCGTTATGCTGGCCCAGCCAGTGTGGCTCAGTGGTTGAGCATCAACCTATGAACCAGAAGGTCACGGTTCGATTCAGTTAGGACACATGCCCAGGTTGCAGGCTCGATCCCCAGAGTGGGGCATGCAGGAGGCAGCCAATCAATGACTCTCTATTATCACTGATGTTTTTCTCTCTGTGTCCCTCTACCTGCCTCTCTGAAATCAGTAAAAATATATATATTTTTAGATCCATCATGCTGAAACTGGTGATGTACTAAACTTCAACATGCTGCATGTTAGAACAAGCAGAAAATATATTTTCTATGAACAATTTTACTATTATAAAGAATGAGGCTAAAATTTCTAACTTTTCATTTCACTATACCTACTGTATAGAGTTCCTATATAGAGTTCCTACACTGACCTAGAATTCCTACACATAGGTTAATAAAGGGCTCCTCCAATATAATAAATAGCTACTATTCAATAATTTCAAGAATGCAACCCATTGCATCATTGGAGGAGTCAGCCAATCAGTTATTTCACTAAAATTGATGAACTATATTTATAACGGTGAGCTGGTAGGGTATTTTGCATATGAATAAAAATTTTAATAATTTGTAAAGTAATCTTATTTTTCTCATGACAAAGTATAAAAGGAGCCATCCTTGATTATATCTCTGACAGCTAGAAAACAAAATTAAATTACTTTTGGCAAAGAAACAAAACAGAATTTGTTCCTCTACACATTCAACTCTTTCCTGGATGTCTTGACAGTCACAGCAATATATAGATTCAATCTTACCTGTGGCAGAAGAAATTTGTAAAACAATTTTAATAGAAAAATTGTATTTCTCCTCTATGCATAATATGCAAATACATAAAATCAGACCTGGTTTTGAGACTTTGACCATTATTTTTAATTAAGCACTTTGTTTGCTATGATAGCAAAAAATGAACACTACGGGAAAACAAATGTAGGAATAGGACTTGGGGAATTGTAAAAAAAAAAAATAATTTGAATTTAAATTTGCTTTATAAAAAAAAAGATTCAAATATTCATACTATAGAGAACTGAACTTCAAATTAACAAACATGAAAATATTGTTAGATATTGTAGTGGGATTATAATTTCCCTTAAAAAATACCAGTATGTTTCACTATTAGTGCAGAAATATTTAAAGTACTTAAAGTATAATACATGGCACAATTTCATTGGGTATTTTAGAAAATAGTATTAAACTTCAACATATAATTCAAAGTTCCTCTGAATATGATGACGTAGAGGACACTTACCTGCATGTGGTCACCAGCCAATACAATCCGAGTGCTTTTAGTTGCTAATGCTAGAGGCATAATGGTTTCACACTCCATGGCCTGGGCAGCTTCATCTAACAGAATGTGCGTAAAAAACCCTACAATGTACACAGTAAACACAGTAAAGCATATTAAAACAGCAATAGAGGCCAGAGTAGTTTTGTGTGGGGTTTTTTTCATTTCTGCTAAAGAAAAAGTTTAGTGTGCTAATTTAAGAGTTGTGAATCCTCAATTTAGAAAATCATCTATTTAAATTAGTATGTAAAAACCAGAGGTTAAAAGGAATAACTATCTTACTCAGTAATAGACACATAAATGGTATCTGGTGCTAAAGCCCCCAATACTAACAGCTGAATCACTATACTTAAAGATATTTAAAATACCAGATAGCAGCTCTTCAGCAAAAAGAGGGGCTGGCAACTAAACACTAAGGGCCCTAGTCCTTTCACTATGTATTCGGTGAAACATCAAAAATAAAACAATGGTAATGTGTAAGTAACTTCAACCTAGATATGCATATCAGACATTAAAATAAAGAAAATCATACTCAAAGTCTAACATAAAGAAGAGTTATAATTTAATTTTAAAATCTTAAGATTATCTATTAGCTTACTCACTAATTTGATTAGATTTAGTGTGTGTAGAGGCAAAAGTAGGTTTATGGTTGTAAATATGCAAAGCAATTTATTCTTATATTATTAATTATTGTATTATTTTCTATACAAACAACTATAAGTCTACTTTTGCCCCACTCTGTATATACACACTATATATATATATATATATATATATATATATATATATATCTTTTTTTTTTTAATCTAAGATCCTACAATGAAAATATCATGCCTGGGGGGAGAGGGGGAGGCTAATAACAAGTGTCAAAAAGTATATTATCACAAGTCCCCCAGATGCAAACACCTATAGTAGGAGGCATCCTACGTCTTGGTTGCTACTGCCACTCACACTGGGGCACAGAAATCTGTGTGCAGAAAGGAGGAAGAGTCTCTTTTCCTCTAAAAGGGGGGAAAGAGGCAAAAATCTCCTTGCTGTCCCAATGTTGAGAAGGAAAAAGTTGTCCCCTACTGCCAACTCAATGAGGTCGGAGGGGATCCTCTTTTTACTAACATAGTAAAGAACACAAAGTAGCTTCTCAACAGAATGATGACATAAAACTCTGAGTTATCAGCCCACTGTGAGTTGGCCCAAGAACCTAGCCTCTACTTCCATCCCTATTCGTATAAATGTCAACAAATTCCAAACAATCTGTTCATACAACTCTCTAATGCAGCAGTAACTCTCAAAATCATTCATTTAAACAAACAGCTAAGGCTGACAATACAAATACTAATAACCTACAGTGGCCCAAGCAAGATATGGACACATGCATTTTTCTCCCTGTTGAAAGAATTGTGCTTCTTGTTCCACAAGACTAATTAAGGATGGTGATTATATAAACACAGAATTAAATTGGAGGGAAACACTGAGACTAGTGAAAAATACCTACTGTTTTCATTAAACAATATTATAATTAAATAGAGCTAGGTTTGAATCAGGAACTAAATCATTAAATTATTATGCCTATTGCTTAAGCTAATAAAGGAACTTGAATTAAACTAATTTAGCCTGAGCCTTAGTTTTCTTATCTGTAAAATAACACTCCTCAGGGTTAATATGAGAATTAAACACCCAGAACAAAGCATAGTTGAATGTCTACTAAGTATTCTTCTATACTCTCGCTCCTCAAAGCCATTCTTTACTCCTTCACACAAAACTAGACTGTTTAGGAGGTTTGGGTATTTAATCTGTATGGCAAATATGCAGAGTATAACCATAAAGTAATGAGACTGATTGTTAAATAAACATACCAAAATTTACATTTCAAATAAGTGTTGTTCCATTCAAAGAAGTCAGTTGGGAGGAAATATAACTCATTCCAATGATGCAGTCACTGTTCAAAACATTTTTGAAACTCTGCTTTTGTAACTGCCCTCACCAGCCAGCTATGAGCTGCATGCACAAGGAAATAAGTCTCATTACTGAGAGGCACGTCTTTTTCACTTTTTTTTTTTTTTTTTTTTTTTACTGCTAATGGTATTGCTCAGTTTGATCACCTGCCTACCTTACTTACCAGTCTCAGAAAGACTTACATTTCTCAGAAACATTTTGAAGCTTTTCTAAAATTAAATCTACCTTCAAAAAAAGAAAGTTGGCCACCATTCATTTTAGAGATAAAAAGAGGTTTATCAAAGGCCTCCAGGTTTCTATACCCTGGGCCAGGAATACCAGATGAACAGAATAGTCTCTACCTGCCAGGATGTTCAAAAGAATTTGTCACTGGCTCTGAAAGCAATTCCAAAAGGAGAGAACAAAAAAATGTTGAGCCAAGCCAACAATTATATGGCAGCAATAAATGAATATTCTTCCAAAGCAACTTATTTAAAGTGATACCATTTTTTGATGGTTAAGTTCTGCCATATTTATCAGAATTTCTTGTCACCTTATATCTGTACTTTGTATAACATCAGTTTAATTTTATATATTAATAGCTCCTGTGCTATAACAATCTCAATAGTATGTAAAAAAAAAAAAAATCATGATCATTGTTGTGTCTACACTAAACAAAAGTATTTTAAAGCAAAAACTTGAGAAACTGTAAAAAACACCAATATTGTCCAAATTTGAATTTTTCACATAATCAATAGTAAATAAATACCATCTGATCAATTAGAGAATTAATAGAATAGCCATCATTAAAATGTCTAAACTAGGAGTTGACAATTTTCTTTCTTTTTTTTTTTTGTAAATAAAAACTAACAATATATATTTTAGGTTTTCTTGGCCAGAAAACCTGTTTTGCAACTATTTAACTAAGCTGCTGTAGCACAAAAGCATCTATGGGTAATAAATAGGTAAATAATTAGGCATGGCTATGCTCCATTCAATAAAATTTTATTTACAACAACAGACAACAGGCCAGTTTGCCAACCCCTGGGCTAGACTAAATGCAGAACCTAGGCATTCAGAAATCCCCTATCTGTGTCTTGAGTCAGCATACCAGGTTCAAGGTCCAACTGACAGAGGTACTGGGAAGTATTCAACGTAACAACAACCACTCGGTGCTTAAGAACATCTTCTTTCTGTGGCATCTGAAAGGTGGAATGTGCGCTTGAGATCAAACAGTACTGATGCACAACTGGGTGAACAGTCTTCACCCAGCGATTTCTGAAATATACCCTATAAAAGAAGATAGTATTTCTTATTTGTATTTATTAAGTTCTTACCAGTATTTGATTATCAAAATAATGACGTTATTATTTAAGCCTACAATATCTGGAAATTAGCAAATAAATTTGATAACCATTAACACTCTACTGGATTAGAATTTCATGTACAACTGTGACTTCCCCCTACCAAAAAAGATTCAAACAGAAAGAATATGCACTATCGATACTATAAAATAAACATTAATAATTTTCATATTCAGATTTACCTTACAAACAGAATGACATGAAAACAATTTCATAAGCATCAAATTTAAGTTCAAAGTATTGCCTATTTGGGAATTACTTTTTTCCTAGAAAATTCTTATAAAAAATACTTAACTTACAACAGAATTACATACATACAACAGAAATTAAAAAGTTAACTGTATTTCACTTTAGAATATATTTTTATAGCTATATTTAAATCAACCCCTAATGTTCTAGAAATTTAAAAATCAAAATAAATTTTGGACAATCAGAAAATCTTTAAAAATAGTATCTCTTCCATTAATTGCAAAAGAAAAATATTAGTAGGTTGCATGCAATAGGTTACTAAGATGGTACAAAAACAACCTTTCTATCTATCCACCCACTCACCCTCCTTGAAACACTGTCTTCCCTCAGCTTCTATGACTCAACCTTCCGCTGCTTTCTTTCTCCCTCTCCAAGGTCGGCATCTTCAAGTCTTAGTCTTGGTTCTCTCCTCTTCTCAAGCTCTGTTCTCTCCCGCTAACAATCTCATCCAGATCCTTGGCTTCAATAACCTAATGACTCACACATTTTTCTCTCTCCAACCAAGACCTCACCACTGAGCTCCAGGATGTATATCTAACTCTTTATTCAATACTAGAGACTCAGTGCATGAATTCATGCACCTAGGCCTGGCCTGTGGGATTGGCCAAAACCAGCTCTCCAACATCTTCTGAGGGTCCCGGATTGTAAGAGGGCACAAGCCAGGCTGAGGGACCCCACCGGTGCATAATCAGAACTGGGGAGGGACGTGGGAAATTGGCCAGCCAGAGAGGTACCATGGGATGGTTCCAAGGTGAATCCGGCCCACCTCACTCAGTCCCAATCACCAGACCCCAGCAGTAAGCTAACCTACCGGTGTCTAACCTCTGGTGATCAGTGCACATCATAACGAGTGGTTGAGCAACCTTAGCATATCATTAGCATATTACACTTTGATTGGATGAACAGATGACCGGACACTTATCCTAATAGGCTTTTATTATATAGGATTTGTCTCCTCTAAGATATTCACAGGCAGCTCAAATATAAAATGCACAAAGACTAATCTCATAATCTTCTAAAATGGATTGTAACCCTCCATGAAATACTTAAAACTGGCGGTCCTCTTTTAAGCAAAGCAAAAAAAAAAAAAAAAAAGTATTTAATAAATGTCCCTAAAAAAACCAATATCATTTCTTAAAGATGCAAAAATTCTAAACATGTTTTAAGTGTTAGTTTAAAAAATGTTAATCAGATCAGCAAAGCAGAATTTACTTTAAAATGTATAAAAAATCTCATTTTACCAGCTTCCTAAAAAAAATCACTTGTAAATTATGATTACATTAATTTAAAGTATATGTATGTAAACATATAAATTACTAGAAATTAAACTCTAAAATGTTAGTAGTATTTATCTACAGCTGATGAAATTATATTTTTTATTTTCCTCTCTGTTCTTTTCAATATTTTCAATATTTTCGATTTTACATTTCATGTAAAATCGAAGTGATTTTTCAAATTATTCATTAAATCTAACTCCAAGCACTGCTTCTTTTTCAAAGAAAATAAAGAAATTGAAGTTTAAGTCTCTCTACTACTCTACTAACATTTTGGTCATCACCTTAGAAAACTACCTCATGTTGAAGCTAGTAAGAATACAAAGTTTGATCATTAGGTTTATCTTGCCTTAAAAATACAATTTGCTGGCTTCAAAAAGATTTAAATATTTTCTTGGTACTTTCATTTTGTGCAACATTTAAGGGAGACTCTGTCTATAAGATTATTTAGAACACATTCAAGAATATTTTCCAAAATTGGAGAATTGATAGTTGCAAGTGACACTTTCAGGCTCATAGTATAAAATGTACCAAGTAATTTACTTATCTCTAGAAACAAACCATTCACACATCCACATAAAGTATTTGATACCTATATTAAATAGGCAGTTTCCTATAATAAAACTTCAGTGAATTAAAATAAAATTTTCATATATTAAATTCATATTAATAACTTCCCCCCAAAAGTTATCACTTTAAGATACTACAGAAATCAGAAAGACCTGATCCCAGAAGAAAATCTGCTTCTTTAAAAATATATATAAGACAAATAGCTTCTATTTGCCCAAAAGCAGTAAATGCACACTTTCCCCATAATCTCCATCCACTAAGTGATAACTATGCCAGTGCCAGATACCGATCTTCAGAACCATACATAGAACAGAATTGTGTTTTCCTTTCTACCCCACTTTAAAATCTAATTCTAAGGAAGTAAGAAGTAAAAACTGAAACTAAATGTAATCTAAAATGGTTTCTACAACCTCCAGCCCCAATATTTTAACAGTTACTCCTGGCAACTAATAGAATTTTATGCATTTTAACTGTAAGGATGCATATTTAAAAATATTACTGCATTAACTATTTAATGTTCATGAGTATTTTCACACTTTATCACATTTACCAAGCCTGCTCTAAACTATACTGTGAAAAAAGCAAATGCCTCATCAGTCTTACTCCATAGAGACACCACATCTTCAAGGTCATATGCAAATGCTTTATGCATTTTTGTTTTCTTTCCCCTGCATTCTGGGACAATTCAGATAAAGCTCATCTCCCCAGAGTGCTCAGCCATTCTAATTTTCTCTATCCCATCTCCCATACCTCTCAAGTTATTGTCCATTAAGAAAATTATAAATAAAACTGAGTAATTGATGGTGCTAATAAATCCTAACATTTCAATGCATTAATTCTCATATGAAATACATTCATGAGAGAAAAACTATTGTGAAAATGTAGGGCCACATTTAAAAAAAAATAGCTGGAGAATTCAAGTCTTTTCTTATTTTATTCCATTAGTAAAATGAAGTAACATAAAATTTGTATTTAAGTGTACTTAAATATTTTTCCATCTTGACTGAACCACTCCTGAGATTTGTGGGGAGGTGATAATTTTCTGCTTAGATGGCAAGTTTCTGAATTGGGGCCATTATAACTACATGTGTACCCTAATGAAACATAACTTATTGTACATATTTAGATGCACTATATTTTAAATTATAACCACCAACAGAGAATAATTTTACAAGGGAAAGCTAAGCATAATGATAGTCAAATGATGGATTTTAATGTTTATCAACAACAGTTCAACTGCCCACATGTCAAATTATCTAAGCTAGGCTGACCAACATGTGAGAAGTTTTTACTCATTATTTCCAAGCCAAGTAGACCACGATAACTGAGATTGCTATGGTTACCACATAACACAAAGATAAACACACATGCATACTCTACCAACAACAAAGCAAACAAGCATTTCCATTAAATAAGTGCACTCATAGCAAATATGCTACTAGCTATCCAATTTTCTCTTATGAGCTAAAAAAGATTAGAATCTGAAGCAAACTAGCTATTGACAAATTTAGCCACTGGCAAATGCCACATTTTCATTTATAGTGATTATATACATGTGATGTTTTCTTATTAAACACAACTGAGTTATATTGAAAATAATAATTTCTGCTCTAATTTCCAAGGGTGAAAACAAAGTATGATATAAATTGTGTTCACAGGCCATGCCACTTTTTTCTCATTTGTTCTTTTTAATGTAACTGTAAAATCATTCAAATGGTTTGTGTTATGAATAGTAAAGAAATAGCAAAATCTCATTTTTTTTTCCATGCCTAGGCTCAACAAATAAAAAGTTAGTGAATTATGATTCAAAAGTGTGGTTAGAAATTAATTTTTAAACAATAATTGTAGTCAAACAACACAGGACATGATATATTAGTTTATAAAATGGCAAACTAAACATTAATTTGTATAACAATGAAAGCAAATGGTATAATAAACCATCTAATGATTCTTTATTGTTTTCTGAAGAAAAGGATTTTGTTCCCCCACAATCCTATATTTAAGTATAATACTTTCATCTCCATATACACTGGAAGGACCTTTCTATATGAACCTAAAATTTTCTTGGACACTGTCTTGTAAATGACAAAAGTTGTAAATACCAGTTAATTATAATTTGTTGCAGAAATCACTTCAGTATTTCATGCTTCTCTAATACGTAGCTTTTATGAATTACCTGCATGATCACAGTCAAAATCTTATTTCCATAAAGTACTATCATGCATGACTACTCTGCCATACAAAATATGCTAGAATTTTAATTACATTTTATTGTAAATCATATTTATGATACTTCATCATAGTAGCTTTTAGAGGTATACATCAAAATCAGCTCAGACTATAACAACAATTTTACATACCAAACTTAAAAAAGGATGTCTTTTTCTTAAGGTTTAAGATGTGAACAGTCAAATATTTTTCAATTTTTCTTTAATTTTAAATGGTTTTTTCAAAAGGCATTACCTCCAAATGCCAATGCAGAGTTAAAGATTTTGGTATTCTCAAAGTTACTAAAACCTTTACAGACACCTTTTCTTAAGAATAATAAAGTGTGATACAGATACATAATAAGCCTTAAAAAAATACCTGAGAGGTCTTGCCTGGGGATTGCCTGCTTCTACATAGGGATGTAAATAATCCTTTATGTAGAGATCAGCAGCACTATTAGAATGGGTGCAAATGAGAATCCTGCTGAAATAAATGGTGCAAATAAAAAGAATGATAAAACACAAAACTATTCAAGCAGTATAATACCAAAAAGAAATAAAAATAAAAGAAAGCAGTGGCCATCTTAACATTATACATTTCCCTCAACCTACTCAGTAACCTTTATCATATTATTGAATAATGCTCTTAAGCAAATTGTATTACTCTTTATGCTATCACAGAGATAAGTCCCCTAAAATTACAAAATCTAACATATAAAATTACTTTTTAAAAATCCAATTCTTTGGTTCTAACATATAATCAAATTCTTTAGCAGACTTGGGGTTTTGCTGGTTATTTTAAAGCTATCATGCTCTATGTTGTCAATTTTTAAAATAATATGTTTTAAGAGAATTCAAATTTTAGTGTTTTGGGATTTGAGGGTAGGTCTTTTTCTCTTTTGTATTTTTTAAAACGTTTATAAACTGGAAGAAAATGTTTTTGCTAGCCCTCACTTTGAATTCTGAACAAGGACAAAGGCTGTGTCCTAGAAATGAGATCGGAGCATACCCCTCACCATCTCACCTCGTCTCCTGTTGCTGGAGTATGTGCTTTACAGCCTGAGCTAGCGTGAAGGTTTTGCCTGTCCCATAGGGTCCAATGATAAGAACAGGAGGCAGCTGTATAGAAAGTGGGGTTGTAATGGCTAGAACAGCTTCTTTCTGTTTTGCATTTAGTCGAGGATCCAACTGTTCATCCCATTGTCTAGAAAATAAAATTTTAAGTTACTTTAAATAAGCACATCTTACTAATTAACAGAACACAACATACAAGTATCCTGAATTTCACTGAACCATTAAAAATACGGAAATAAAAAAAATACTGAAATGACATAGCATCTATAAAAATCAATGCTTATGCTAGTATTATTTCTTAGAAAATTACCCAATTTTACTATGTTGATCAAAAGTCACTTTAGTTATGTTGTCCTATTCCAAGTGCAAAAAGATAAGTAACCTAAAGATATTAACCACTATTAGTTTAGTTTCTGCCAAGTCTGTATAGTAATGACAATGTCTTTAGAATATAGATACCCTTTGTGACATAAAAGCATCAAATAACCTTTTTTTCTGGTAATAATGAAGTAGTAGTTTCTTTGCATAGCAAATAAAATGCAAAAGAGAAACTAACTGATTTCCAAATTCCAAGCCAAAGATCTCTTAGTAACATTTAAAATAAGGAGAAAAGAAAAAACCTATATGTTCCTAGTTAAGAGATATCAAACTTTTATGAATTTCTTAATTCATAAAACAGCAGTTTTTTTTAAAGGCTGAACAACATAAAATGTTCTCTAGTATTTTCACGCGCACAAATATTATACATGTCTTATTTTTCAGGATAGAGAACACCTGTCATGGCAGCACAAATGGCTGCTGTAATGAGATCCAGCTTCCTAGTGTCCCTTCTATGACTTGGCTAAGTTTTGAAGATTTAAATGGACAGCAGATGCTGAGAGGGATCAAACCAAGTGGAGAACCAACAGCATTCTTTCCCATAACTAAAATTAAAATACTAAATATCGCAACAAGTATGGCAAAAATGATAGGGATGTGAACCAAAATAGGAAGGGTGTGTGAAGAGACTTAGAGGATGTGCAAGGTGCCTACAATATAAGCTGAAAGGGGAGCACCTGGTGCAGTGAAAATTCCCTCTGCGAGGCTGTACCCTACTTAAATCAGAGGCTAGTTATCTGTGGGAAATCTTCACACCGTTTTTTAAAAATTACTGTAATAGATCATTTCAAACAAACAAAATTCTCCTAAAAATGTAAAATTTTAGAAAACAAACATTGGCCATTTAAGAATTCCATTACTTTTCTGAAATTTAAACCTTTCTAGATAAAAAAACAAAAGGACTCTGACCACTGGCATTCAATTTCCTATAAGCCAGTCACTAAAGCTCAAGCATTTTACTCCACATAGTTAAGCATTAACCAACTTATTTCCTCAGAATTCTGCCAGTCCCCGGCAAGCTTTCATCTTCTAAAAGGAGAAGTTGCTTTAGTGATTGCTAAGTACAGATCTAGCATACATGGCAAATACTGTGGAATGGTTATCCCCACACCATCCATAGCAGCCTTTCTGCCTTTCCTCTATTGAAGCTACATAGCTAACTGCTTCATTTCCCAGCATCCTCTGCAGGAGACCCAATGCTGGTCAATGAGATGTAGTTCTTCTTCAGAAGAGCTTCTGCACCCAATAAAACAAAAACAACAAAAACAAAAACAAAGCCTCACTAGAAGCAAGCCCTTTCTGCTACTTTGCCTTCCTCCTTCACCTGGCGGAAATGAGCTCATGGCAAATAAAACTGCAGCAGCCATCTCATATTCATGAAGCAACAGGCGTCAAGAAGAAAACCAGTATGTTGTGTATGGCAGAGAGGAAAGGAGAACCGTGGTCCTTGGTGGCACTCCGGCTCCTGCATTAACTCTGGACCACCTACCTCTGGGCCTCTTTCTCCACATGTTGATGCCACAGTTAGGGCAATACCTGAGTTACTGTGATTCTGTGATACCTGACCCCACTGTTCCTTTGTCTTTACATGGAGATAGCATACTTGCATTAGATGGTTATTTTAAAGATCAAATGAGATAACGCATACAACCTGTTTAGAAAAATAACTGAGCAATAAGTGCTCAATTAATGCTTGCTTCCATTATTATAGTATTTTCTAAGGCTTTCAAAAAGATGAGATATAAGTTGACCAGTACACTTCAAAAAACAAAAAGTTTTAAAATCAACCTCTAATCTTTCAAATTTAGGGATTTTAATTATCTTATTAATGAAGAGATATTAGGCTATGAGATTAAATAACAGATTTATGAGTATAATTCTACAGTATTTATTTATAGAGCCTAATATCTCTTCATTAATAAGATATATATATGAGATCTATGGGTATAATTCTAAAATATTTATCTAATAGCTTAATATCTCTTCATTAATAAGATATTTATATGAGATTAAATGACAGATTTATGGGTATAATTCTAAAATATTTATTTATATAGCCCATTCTACTTATCAATTGTTTCAGTGTAAATAAATGCTTCAAAGCAGATCAGAAACTTTAACAATGTTGGTCAACTCTGAATAGAACAAATCGTCTTTATTTATTGTGCCACCTAGTAAATAAAGGGAAGATTTACAATATACATGCTGATAAGAGTCATCTCTGATTTTCACAATTTAAAACAATATAAAGTCTCCTCAAGTTTATTCTGAATTTAAAAAGTGTTATTTTATCCCCTGAACCAAATTAATTCAAAGTTCTTTTTTTTACCCTGGTCTAATGCACTGTTATAATTAATTTATATACCATCTGCCCAAGAATAATTTCTCTATGTCTAGCTTATTCTAGGAAAAATTTTAAATGGCTAGTGGTTTCTCAGTATGTCCCCAGACCCAGATATATTTCAATTACTATTTGTAATAATAGTGCTATGGACTCTCTTCCTACTTAAAAGTTTTCTGCCACTTGACATTTTCTTAATTAACTTTTACAGTTAATACTTGCAGTCAGGGGTATTGAATACATTGTCATATATAATTTTCAGAAGTGAGCATATACAATAAATGCCTAATAATACTGGCATAACCTCACATTTGAAACCCTAATATTTCTTTAAACTTTAAATTCTTACTAATTTAAATGTGTCATATATTAACAATGTGCAAGGCCCTGCTGGAGATTCAAAAATAAGATGTGGTCCCTTCCTTTAAAAAAACTCAGTGGGTACTAAACTTTGGGGGGTGAGGGCATCACTTCATGAGTTATACAAATGTGTAACAATGGTATACCTGAAACAAATATAATAATAAATTTCAACTATAATTGAAAATTTTTAATAAATTTTTTAAAAGTTCAGAATCTAATGAGAATAGTTGACATGTAAAAAATTAAAAAATATTAATTTGAGATAAATTATGCTTGAAAACACAAAATTAACTGTACCTAGCACATACTAGGCACTCTATAAATATTTGCTCAAATAATGAAATGAAAGGATAAAATTTATCTACTTGAAGGAGAGAAGATTTGAGATGGACTAAATCTTTGAAAAAAAATTCAAAAGATCAACATTTAGCACAGATTACTTCAGGGAGAGAAGATCACTTACAGATGAGAAGATAGGACTGGGGAGGGGGAAATGTGAAGTTAAATGGATATTAAGTTTCAATTCTGCAAGATGAAAAAGTTCTGCAGATTGACTGCACAACAATGTGGGTATACTTAACATCACTGAACTAAACACTTAAAAATGATTAAGGACTGGCCTGTGTAGCTCAGTGGTTTAACATCAACATATGAACCAGGAAGTCATAGTTCGATTCCCAGTCAGGACACAAACCTGGGTGGCAGGCTCGATCCCCGGTTGGGGTGTGCAGGAGGCAGCTGATCAATGTTTCTCTCTCATTGATGTTTTTATCTCTCTATCCCTCCTTCTTCCTCTCTCTAAAATCAATAAAAACATAGTTAAAAAAAGAAAGATACGAAGGCAAATATGTATAGGACGAATTAGGGGATTTAGAAAGAAAAAGAGGGTTTCAAGTAGAAAAAAGGAAAAGAAACTGAGAAGATACTGTTCAAAAGCACTGTTAGTGAGACCACATAATAGAGTTTAGTACCAGCTGCTCAGACTTTATATACATATCAAGAGAAACCTACAAAGATATGTAAGAAGGGAAATAAAATTATTATTTTAGTAAACTCACTCTAAAAGAAATCTGAGAGCTGGCCCCAGAGAACAGAGACAAAGACAGCAGGACAAAAGACCAACTAGAAAGGATTGAAATAGTCCAGCTCTAAATAAAACCTGGGCTGTAAGGACAGGAAGAAAGGGAAGGATGCAGAGATGATGAATCAAATGGGACCTGGGCAGGTGTCACTGAATTTCTACAATTAGTAGATCAATGATTAATTTCAGGAGAATGAGGAAGTAAAAAACTGAAATTACAGAATGAGTAAAGAATACTGGAAATATATAGACTATTCCTGCTCAAGAAATGGGGCAATAAAAATAAAAATGGGAATAGAATAGTTAGGGTAAGTAAACAAGGAACAAATTATTTAGTTTTTGGATTGAAAGGCATATTTTGTTTTGTTCTATTTTTAGGGCCAGAAGAAATAAAATGTGAGGAGAATATATGCCACCTCTAGGCCTGGCACATAAAATTTCCTATATGATGCTTTGTGCTTTCTTCCCCTGTCTGCCAGCTGGATGCCAACACCCAAGGTGGTTGGAAACCACTTACTGAAGATACCAGAGCCCCCATCAGAGATGGGAGAACCACCCTACCGTGATTGCATTGACAAGTGATAAATAAACTTCTCCTGTGTAGAGCAACTGAGATTTAAAAAAGAACAAAAGCTGGAGTGAGCTGAGAGGAGCAGGGGCCTCGAGGATAAAACCCCGTGAAAAGGACGGAAAGAAGGATGTAGTCACACCGGAATCACCGCAGTTATTCTGGAAGCAAAATAGAAGTATCATATTTAATTACACTATGTAAAGAAGTGCCAAATAGAATGTAAGCAGGAAAATATTTACACAACCATTAACTTGAGAATGGTTTCTGAAGTGATATCTTCTATGACACTGTCTCCATTTTGCAAAATTACAAAAATGTCTTCAATATTCAAAAATTATTTGAAGTTACTTTAAACACTATAGAAAGGCTCTAATTTTCCCATTCAACTACTCACACTATTGCTAAATTGCCTGTTATTCTATAAAGGCTGTGGAGAAAACAGAACTCATTTAGATACTGAGGAAAAGTAAACAGATGATGGACTTCAAATGTTGCATTCTTTTACTCTCATTTTTCAACTAATAAAATGGCTTCTGAAGAATACAGAGAAACTTTTTTTTTTAAATATGTTTTTATTGATTTTAGAGAGGAAGGGAGAGGGAGAGATAGAAACATCAATGATAGATGAGAGAGAATCATTGATTGGCTGCTCCCTGCACACCACCCACTGGGAATTGAGCCCACAACCCGGACATGTGCCCTTGACTGGAATCGAACCTGGGATCCTTCAGTCCTCAGACTGACTCTCTATCCCTTGAGCCAAACCAGTTAGGGCAAAACTTTCTTACAAAGATATGCCTGAGTTATCTGGCACAGACATTTAATTTAACATTAGCATAACATCCTTTAATGAGATATCTCCTTTTTGTACCTGTTGGGACTCCAAGGTATGGTTGGAGTCATAGTGATGTCTGGAAATAAAACCCCATTGTCCTTGATCCTGTCTAGTGCATAATGCATTTCACAGAGGGGTAATCGATTTAACTGAAACTGAAGTTCAACCTGAAACATAAGATTAAAAATAATTTTTTAAGCATGAAAGTAAACATCAACACTTGCAGCTCACTAGAATATTTTGTGAAAATAATCTTTTAAGGGAACCAATTTTAGAGATTCTTTTAAAGTACAATTATATTCTAACTAGAAGCCTGATGCATGGGTAGAGTTCCTAGGCCTGGCCAGCAATCAGGGCTGATCTGCAGGGCAACCAGCAGGGTGATCAGCCAGGGGTAGGGGTGGTGGGGGAGTGCTGACATCAGCCTTGACAGGCCTGGGTAACGTGGGCTGGGGGCAGCTCCTGTGTTAAGTGTCTTCCCCCTGGTGGTCAGTGCACATCATAACAACCAGTTGTTTCACCAGTTGTTTCGCCATTTGGTTGATTTGCATATTAGGCTTTTATTTTATAGGATATTATATCCTACCACATAAAAGAGTAACGTGCAAATTAACCATCACTCCGCTCAAACCATGCCCACCAGCCACGCCCACCAGCCAATCAGAGCAAGTATGTAAATTTACCCCAGCCAAGATGGCTGCAGCCACAGAGAGCAGCTGAGAGAGGCTTGGGTTTCCCCAGCAATAGAAGCCAAGCTTTCCACACACCCTGGTAATATTCATTATCTTATGGTTAAAAAAAAAAAAAACATTAGCTTTCCAGTTAAATATGGCACCTGAATACACAGTTCAACAAAGAATCCAAAGATAGAGAGAACAGGGGCAGATACATCTTCAGATGAGAACTGTCCCAGGGTATAACTTGGCTTCTATCTGTTCCTCCAGTGCTGATTTTAAACTCTAATCCGAAAACTTTACCTTGTATAAATCTGGAACATTTCAGATATTACTTAAAGAAAATTGCTTTTCTCTGAGAGTTACCAGAGGTTCAATTCTCCACCCATTATATATCACTTTGGGTTATGGCAGAAGAAGGAAAATCAAACAGAAGAGTATCAGCTGATAAGGAGACTGCTGCCACACTTGAAACATACCTGTGTGTCACAGTCAGGCCGAAGATTAAGTTCTTCACAGCATTCCCTGGATATCCTTAAAAATATATATTCTTTTGTTTTTTCTTCAATAGTAGCTTCATAAACCTTCTCTTTGGTTCCCTGGGTCTGTACTAAATTCTCTTTAGGGACTGGTAATAAATAAACAGCATTGACTTTGGTCATCACAAGCCGTCCAGCCAAAGTATCTTCAGAAAGTGTTTCAGTAAGCTTAAAGCGACCAAAAAGCTGTCCATTCTGAGCATACTTTGCACCTCCAGAAACTCCAGTGAGCATGAAGCTTGCCAGAATCTGCAACTGCACTTTAAGATTGAACCTAAATCAGAAGTGAAAAACGAGTTTGAATATTCTACATCAAAAACTTTAAAACTAGAGGAGTAATACAAAATAAATCAAATATAAACATACAAAAACTTAAAACTCTACTGGGTTACAAACTACATACTGTCTGACTTTTATCCAAAGCTGGAAACAAAGAAAACTTTTTAATAAATTAACTCTCATTCAGTAACCAGACACATATTAAGTCATGTTGAATACACACAACTTTTAAAGTATGAATATTTAAAATGAAGCTAAGTATGATTTTTTTAATAAAATAAAATATTACATAAAAGTGTTTAACCACACCAATAAAAGTGTTTGACCACACCATTGGGACAAATAAGGCTTTACAATTACCTAGAACCAGAAGGAAAGGCACTGCATGAAAACTCAATGGACTTTCATTAAACTGATGTTCTCCAAGTGGATTTTACCAAAAAATTCTAACATAAATTTCTCTTTCAATGAATAACATTTCTCTGTTAATATCATCCAAAATAAATTCTCATTCATGGCTACATCAAGGCAAAGTTCAACCTTTCTAAAGACCCTTATTATAAACTGCCAAACAGCCCTCCAGAAATATACCAGCGTTGTTTGCCACCAGTGCTCATTTTGTATTGCAGATATTTTTAGGCTTCTCTTCAAGTGGCTTGAAGCTATTCCAAGATGCTCTTGTAGTAAATTCTCATCTACTTAATTTCTTGATCAGAATCTGACCTCCATAAAATTGTAGGGTTCATTTAGATAAATTTCTACTTAAAACCCCAATAATCCATAAGCTTACTGATGTTTAGTTATAAGTTCTAAAGTAATGTATATGAAATAATTTGTAAAGTTTAGTAAAATATTAAACAAACATAAATTAATTTATAATATTTTCTAAATTTCTGGTATGGTATTCCAAAATGATCTCTTAAGATTCCTATCATCCACCCAGTGGTTGAGCATCAACCCATGAACCTGCAGGTCACGGTTCGATTTCCGGTCAGAGCACATGCCCGGGTTGCAGGCTCGTTCCCCAGTGGGGTGCGTGCAGGAGGAAGCTGATCTCATCATTGATGTTCCTTTCTCTCTCTCTCTCCCCCTCTTCGTTCCTCTCTAAAATCAATAAAAAAAACATTTAAAAAAACAAAAAGATTCCTGTAAGCTTGTAAGCTCTATCTCATCCCAATATTTATGACTTATCATGGTGTTCCTTTCTCAAGGAAAAAGAAACTACAATAATATAAATAAAATACATGCATATTAATAATGTGAATAATGCATATGATACAAGCCACTGTCCTTGCTATTTGATAACTGACCATTTCATTAGAACCGTCTATAGAAACAAATGTCCTTTAAGGGACCATCAACAGGCCACAATTGAAAGTCTTAGAGTAATGAAAACTATACATATAATTTTGTAAATATTACATGTATTTAATTTGAATGAAATACTTTTCAAAAGTTAGATCATATTTAATCCATAAAATAACACAAAGTATATTTTAAGTTTTCACTTTTCCTTTTCTGAATATATCCCTCAGTGAGTATTCAATATCTATTAATATTAATGATAAGGTATTGATAAGACACCTTGGGACCCATGTAATTTTATTGAACAGTCACACCAATAAATTCCATTAAAATGGGGGGAGGGGATTAAGGCAGCTTGGTTAAGGTATACTTAAAGGGAAAACTACTTATAAAAATGTGTTTGTGCCTCATAATTGTGGTTCAATTTTTAAGGTTTGTTCCATTTTATTAAAAAGCAGAATGCTACTCCAAATACAACAACTATTTCATTAACATCTTCCTTCACTCAAACTTTCATTTCTCAGATTATCTTTTCTATAATGATTCAAGTAAGTTTTTCATTTATAACACTTGGTCTTAATCTATGGGATATGGATAAAATGTAAAATATGTTAAAGCATTTATAAACTGCTATAAAGGTACTTTATTATTATCAAGTAGTTTTTTTGAAGATTTAAATCATTTCATTCTTAAAATTCCTTTTCAAAATATATAGTCTCTTTCAGCTTTTGTACATTTACTAAACAAATATTCACTGAGTACTTGCCCTGGCTACCATGAACAGAAACCTCCTAAAGAGCTGGGACCACATGTTTAGACTCCCAGCACCTGGCAGAGTCTTGTGTAAATTAACTATGTACAAAACACTAGGGCTACCAGGATGGGCAAGACACAGTTCTTGCCTCAAGAAACTCATATACAGCTACTAAATAACAGCCACTGAATAACAACCATTCCCTTATCTGTCTTCACACAGAAACACCTCCATTTTCAAAATGAAAAATAACATCCAAAGGGTAAATAACCAAAAACAAGTGTTTCTAATGTAACTTACTTGCTTACTTCTTTATACTGAGCTATCTCCTCAATATAAAGAAGGTCATGCAACCGTGACTGATAGTTGGTCTTGGTCAATGACTTGTCTAAAACAGACTGGGTAAACAGCTGGTCAGCAGAGAGAGGAATTTGGTATCTGATAAGAAGGCTCTTCTCCAAATCAGTAGTTTCATTAGGTTCAAACTCTACAATAGTCTTAGAAGAAGAATCCCAACGCTTAGCTGTGGTTACTAGCTGTTGTTTTGCATGCATCAGGTACTCAAGATCTAAATGGAAACAAAACATACATTTATAAGAGAGCACAACATTAAAATTACCAAATAATGCCCTGTACTTTTAGTAAGAGAATTTTATATGCTAAAGCTCCAATTCTTAAAAACAGAACAATAAAAACCCATTTACAGAGTATTTTCCCCACATCAGAAATATTTTTTGTCTATCTTAACAAAATAATATAATAGGAATCCATATAGAAAACATCTTTTTTAACACAAGACTAGGTCATTTAGAAAGTGTTATTAACAACTTAAAAATACATGTTAACATTTAGAATTTAATTCTCCAGTCAAGAGAAATCTGATCTAGGAAGAAGATATGATAAATTCCTCATAAGACAAAAATCTATCAGGTGATAATCACTTTTCTCCTCCTCCAACCAGTATCTGTCCCATTATAGAAAGAAAAGATCAGAACACTGTGAAAGGTTAAATCTCTTCTTGTGTGGTAAAACACAGTGAAACTCTGAAAGTCAACTTACAACAAACAAAACCCTTTTAGAAAACATTCATGGAAAACACCAATAATTCCACATTAAAATGAAATATGATATACCATTCAAGTGCTATTTAAAAAAAAAATCTAGCTTGGCCTCAGTTATATTATACCATAAGTAGGGCACATATCGAAATGAATGACTGTTCAACCCTGCTGAATACCAGCACAGGGTGAATTATGTTGTAACATAGATCCTGAGCCCTGGGTAGCCTCAGTCTGTCTGCAGAGCAAGCACGTTACTTTTCTGTTGGGTGGAAGATACATACACCTGTCAATGTGAAACTTAACCAAAAGAAAGGTTCCTTAACTGACTAATCAGGCAGAGATTCCGTTTTCATCTAACGTAACTGGAAAGATGATTTCACAACTCAAGTTAAAGTTTTAGGGGGAAAATAACAAAAAAAAATTAAACAGAGATTAGAGTTAGCCTCCGAAGTACAAAGACAAGTTATTGTGTGCTATCTTTGACATGAGAGTAAAAGGCATATAATGGCCATGTTTTGCTTAATAAGAGATTTTGCTACATTAAATGTTACATATAAATTATAAACATGTAGCCATCCACCAAGAGAAATTTCTCAATTTTAGAAAGTAGCTTATTCTAGTATCTTAAGAATGATTACAATGTAAAGGCCCAATTTAAAAATAAAAATGTAATTTTAAAAAAACAGTAATCGCTCTAAACTTTGCTCCTTGAAAAGACATTTTACTACTATATACCAGTTTTATTATTTCTCAAATGCAACTATAATCATTAAGCTCTGAAGATGGTCTGCTCATTAAACATTTGCATTTTAAAATACTCTGTATGAGACAATGATGGTCTATTTTGCAATAGCTTCACAAAAACAACTGACCCTGAACAACAAGGGTCAGATCCACTCATACATAGATTTTTTTTCTAATAAGTACTATATATTACTTTTTTCTTATGATTTTCCTAATAACATTTTCTTTACTTACTTTAAGTAAAAGTATAGCCCTAGGAGGTTTGCTCACTGGTTAGAGTGCTGGCCCATGAACTGAAGGGTCATGGGTTCAATTCCCAGTCGAGGGCATGTACCTCGGTTGCAGGCTTAATCCCTGGTCCTGGTCAAGGCATGTGTGAGAGGCAACCAATTAATGTGTCTCTCTCACATCAATCTTTCTCTCTCTGTGTCTCTCCCCCTCCCTTCCACTCTCTCTAAAAATCAAAGAAAAAAATATCCTTGGGTGAGATTAACAACAAAAATAGAATTGGAGGTTGGAATAACTAGTCTGGCACAAGATATGCTTCCCAACGTCCCTTGCCCTCCGATTACTGACAACAGCTCTCATTTCAGCCTCGTAGTTATTATTCTAATAAAGCGTCCAAAGGGTTGGTTTGTTTTGTCTTGCAGTATGTAGTACAGAGCAAACTTGAAAATATCTTTAACAGGACCTGGAGAGTGGATAAGAAGAAAGTAAGGAGGAAAAAACCCAGTGTTCAGACTCAGCACAAGGGCCAGCACAAAATAAGCATGCAATAAATGCATGTTAAATATGGAATTTGCTCAAAACAGCTATATTTATCTAGGACTTTAAAAGAATGAGATGAAATGTTTCCCAATTCCAAAATTAGGTAACACACTCTTATCCTTAGAAAACAGTTTTGTCTCGCTTTACAGGTCTTGACTGCCCAAATTAACAATAAACTAAAATCCAAAAAATCCCAAACTACCATTTCTGCTATCCATTTCAACATCACTCTTTTCACCAAAACTGATACATAGAAGATAAACACTTCTGAGTTTTTCCATGTTGTCTGTCCCTGTTTTCAATCTCTTTGCAAAGCTAATAAAAAATTAAAACATGCCAAAACTGGTTTGGCTCAGTGGATAGAGCATCGGTCTGCGGATTGGAGGGTCCCAGGTTCAATTCCGGTCAAGGGCATGTACATTGGTTGCGGGCACATCCCTGGTGTGGGGTGTGCAAGAGGCAGCTGGTCAATGTCTCTCTCTCACCAATGTTTCTAGCTCTCTCTCTCCTCTCCCTTCCTCTCTGTAAAAAATCAATAAAATATATATTTTTAAAATTAAAACATGAAAGTAGTAGCATAGTATTTTTATACATTTTACATCCTTCCACTCAGTTATATTTATCTTTTATTGACAAATATACAATTTTTAAATCTATTTTTCTATTACTTTCTGATCACATCATATTAAATATTACATAACATGTTCTTAATTTAGCAACTAAATTTGGCAGTTGAAGATCATTTGTAGGTCATACTAATTTTAATGTTAGTATTAACATACACTGCTAGACACAAAAAAGAAAAATGTGTAATACCAAATTTTCAAATTTAAATATAAGAATTAATCTTCAACAGATAGCTTTCAGAGACAGTCAAAGCAGAATTCCAAATCAATTTTGCCCAGCAAAAGTTTTCCATTAACTCAAAATTGTAGAAGGCATAAATGCAGTTTTCTAAGAAAGGGGAAAACTCACTAACTTCCTTCTTTTGTAGATGTTTTATACCACACATTTTTGAGAGGCACATCTTTAATCCAAAAAAATTTTTTTGAGAACATACTGTATTTTTTTCTGAACCCGAATTGTATCAACAAGGGGAAATATTGAAAAAAATAAAGTTAAAGTTATACATATTTCCCACTTTGTAGAATTACCAAAAGACTAGAGGGGATAAATTCATTCTAACCCTGCAAACAAAAAAGGTTTGAATGCTTGGTGTAAAAGACAAATAAAAAAAACCTGTGGAGTATTTTCCCAGTTTAAATTATAATCACCTAAAGCAAGTAGACTTTTTTTAGCTCAATAATGAGCAATAAATTAGAAATGTCTGCTGTGTAACTAGCATGGCTCAGTGGTTGAGAGTTGACCTATGAACCAGGAAGTCACAGTTGGATTCCCTGTCAGGGCACATACCCAGATTGTGGGCTCAATCCCTGGTGTGGGGGGTGCAGGAGCCAGCCAACCAATGATTCTCTCTCATCACTGATGTTTCTCTCTCTCTCTCCCTCTCCCTTCCTCCTGAAATCAATAAAAATGTGTTTAAAAAAAAAGAAATGTCTGCTATGTAACTTAATTTTAAGTTTCAAGGAGTAATAAATGAATATAACTAAGTTCCATGGTCAAATCAGTTTGACAGACTCTGAGCCCTTAATTACTGAAGAGCACTGTGAATTTCTAAGAGGAAAATAAAGCATGCACCATTTCCAAATAAATGTATTTGGACATTAAACTCTACCTATTATTAATGTGTATACCCCCATTAATTTCTGCAGAACACAGTTTTGGAAACATCAAGCTAATAAATAAATGACTTACCAAGGCCCAAATTTATAACTTTATAAAAGAGAAATATACATTCCCAGCATATTAATTTAAGGGCAAAAACTTAAACAATGAATAGCCAATCAAGTGGAAGAAGTGATAGAAATATTTCCTATTCACACCAAATTCTTGTTTCACACCATCACTGCATTTTTGTGTGCGTAAAACCAAATTATATTGTGATATAATTTATAATGTTATCAAAACAGCATAAAAACATGATAAAGCTCAGACATAATTCAATTCTCTAATGCCCAACTGCCTTTTGGCCAGTCTGTACATAGAATAACACTTTTCTCAGAATTCTAGGCCAAGGAAAATCAAATAATGAACTGGTTGAGGCTAGAGGTGAAATCAGCCAGACTGTCAGTTACACTGTCACCAATTTAACAAAGAAGTTCTTTGCTCTCAATGTCTCTGAATGTTATCCACACAAATATTGCAGGAAAAGATAAAAATGGAAGACTCCCATTTTACATTTTAACTATTTCAGAATGTTTTATAAAATTGTGATTTCACATAAACAAAACATCTGCCCTCAATTTTTTTTTTTTTTTTTTTTTTGCTGACAAGCATTCTGCTATACTAATCAAAAAACACTAACTAGTACTAAGATAGATGCAGAAAACAAATATTGTTGTTTATGTCCTACTTTCATTTCTCAAAAATTCTGTTGGGACTCTGTACACAGTCACACTGAAACAAATATAGTCACACAATGAAAAATTTAAGAATTTAACAAAAAACATCAAGATATTCAATGACATCAATTTTAACAGCATAAAAGTGAGTGGGGGAAAGGTGACATGTGTAATAGGTTCAACAATGAAGATTTTTTAAAAAAAGAATTTAAAAGATACCTGACAAAGAACATTAGTACAACCGGGTCAGCTAATTTAAGCAATGACAAAATAATCAACCTAATGTCACCCAGCCTGTCTAAAACTAGATTTAAGTTTTCCTTTTTATAATATTAAAATCTCATATCATCTTATAAAATAAAGAGCTAATAAGCTAATTAGACCGAACAGCAGACTGACAGTCCAGAAGACCTTCCAGAAGACCTTCCAGACGAAGCCGGGGCTGCGAGGGCCAAGGCAACCAGAGCTCGGGGCCGCGCCCCTTGTACAGATGCTATGCATCAGGCCTCTAGTGAGATATATTTTGCACATTTTGCACTGTTCTCCTATAAATTTGCTTTTCCTGTCCTTGAAAAACAAATTTCATTATGTGAAACTGTTTCAATATACCCAAATTAGTTCAATAAAATATTTAACTTTTCTCAATTATTTTCGTTAACTAGATAGAAGTAAAACCTTGTTTAAAATGACATAGGCTGCCTGGCTGGTGGGGCTCAGTGATTGTGTCTACCCATAAACCAGGAGGTCACAGTTCAATGCCCAGATTGTGGGCTCAATCCCCAGCAGGGGAAGTGCTGGAAACAGCTGACCAATGATACTTATCAATGATGTTTCTATTCCTCCTACATCTCCCTTCCTCTCTCTGCAATCAATAAAAACATATTTTATTAAGTACTCATTTAAAAAAATAGGCAAAGATATCAAACTGCAAAGAGATCACTTAATAGTATTACTTTTTAAAAGGGGGCTATAGTTTTGTTAAGTACTCTGTCCAGGATCACACAGGTAACAAGTAGAAAATCAGGATTCAAATCCAGTTTTATTTGACTCTGAAGTCTGTCCACTGCTCTTTTTCTCCAGCTAGAAAAGTAGAACATATCTCAGGAAAAGTAGCCAAAGTAACGTCAATCTCTCAAGTCCATGAGGGTGCTGAAATCCTCTTCAGACATTTAACGCTTTATATCATTAAACAAGCTTTTATTAGCTAGTACAGATTCTTGACAATAAAAACTATTTCTATGAGAAATGAGTCATGACTTACAATCCACTAATCTAAAAGCAAACTTTTAAAATACAAACCACATGTAAGCCAAGACATCTTTTCAGAGTTCTATTTGAGGAAGGGATACATGTTGATTTAAATCTTGATTTAAATCTCCTTATGATTGAAAAAGGATGCTCCCTAGTTATCTCAAGTTCTAGTTTCTAAAAGCAACTTACTAGTACAGAAATAGGCAAACCACAGATTGCAAGACAAATCTAGCCTGCTGTGTTATTGAATAGTATTATTGTAATACAGTCATGCCCATTCATCTACATATTGTCTATCTGGCCCTTGACAGAGAAAGAATTTATATTAGTAAATATAAACCAAATATTTTCATTTTGTCAATGATCATAGCTATTTGGCTACGGAAAATAACATTTTGATTTCAAAGATTACTAAAATGACAAAAACAAAATACAGCAGAATAAAAACAAGTAAAAGAAATCAAAGTAAGTGGGAAATCAATGTGGAATGAGTCTGGGGAATAATTAGCATATATAAGAGAGTAATGCCTAATTGTTCAATTTGGACACAAATGTTGCTTTAACCTTACCAGCAGCTAAAGTAAAGGAGACAGAACCAATTCCACCTGTTCACTATGTCCAAAAAGTTAAATCCTAGCATGTGCTCATGAAAAAAACAAGTTTTAGTTCTTATAAAAGGGACGGGGGTACAAAGGAAAAAACATCCTCCCCAATATGGTGAGTTACAGTCAATACCAAAGCAAGTTTCATACAGCTCTGCTACGTGAGTGCTTGTTAAATACTTAGTGTTAGGTAAATAAAATAAAGCGCCAAAGAAATGTAGGATAATGTGACCTTTACTTTGGATTTTAGCATAATATTTAGGTATATGCAGCAATATGATATGTACAAAGAGATTCATCGTCTTCTACAAGTGCTTACATGTTCAACCCAGGGATGTCTTCCCAAGGGTGCAAAGGCAATGGGGTTTCCTTTACACTAGTGAATGTACAAAATCAATTTATGAAAGCTTATATTTAGGACTTTTCATTCAGAGATAATGCACTAACATCATCAAAGTTAATTGGACAGTCAGTCAAACATGGAAATAGACACTGTAAGTGTACTCACGATTACCATTAAAATTATACTCTACCCAAAGCAATATTAAAAGGTTTTATTGTGCTAAAATCATCCTACTTTAAAAATTAAGTTGGGAGACCAAGACAGACCTGATATAAGCTTTGCCTGATGACTAGATAAAGAGAAAGGGCATAAAGTGAACCATTCTAATCCTATTACATAGTTAATGAGTCCATTCTTTTGAGATTTTTTTCTTCCTAATTATTCCCTCCCTATCCATCAAACATAGAGGGGCCAATACATATATTTCAATGTAGTTATGAGAGTCTCGTTTAATACATCATATCAGGGGAAAAAAGTCTAAATATTACCTTCTGTAGAAGCTGCATCAATCATTACTCTTTGCATGAGTACTGGTTCCAATCCAAAGTCGAAAACTATGGTTTGGCGAAAAGTTCCAAATATTTCTGTGTTAAATGCTATCGCGACTTTATACACGTAATGATCTAATCCATTTTGGGCCATGTTTCCTCCTATCCATTCTTGACAGTTTTCTGGGACTTCTTGTGATACCTGGGTAGTACTATCTCCGGCAGATATTGCAATGATACTAAAATGAGGACGATGAGCATCATAAAGCAATGCTACACGATACAGCATTCTTGCAGGCTACAAGGAAGTTAAAATAATTCATTGAGTACAAGGGGGTGAAAAATCCAATTGTAATTGGGCTCTTCAACAAAAATATTTCCATAAGGGAATTTTACTTTCCCATACTTCTAAGATATTATGTTAAAAATACAAATTGTGCTCATAAGCCATTTTAAGAAAAAAAAATCAGAATTTTTAAAAATATGCTGTTAAAAAAATAATATATTTATGATGTCAATTATACTTCAGTAAAGCTATAATTTTTTTAAATGATATGCTACATCACAAGCTCCCCTTCTCTTTTCTGTGTATATTCACCTTTCACTGTGGCAAAGGTTATCACTGTGTCTGACCATCGACTTTCCATGCCCTCGGCCTAAAAGAGGGTTACCTATCCTCAAGAAGGAAGTCTTCACAGGCGGGCAGTTACCCCTGAAAGGACTGGATTGGGTTCAAGGCTGAAGCTAAATGCTCTCGGATTTTTCACCCCAAGTTGAGATGGTACTGTGGAAGAAATGCCACCAAAAAGGATACAAACTTTTCCACTGCATATATTTGCAGAAATGTTTACTTTGATTCATTCTTAAAGTTTGAATATTTTACTTCAAGATGGAATGTACTGTGAAATCTTTCATTTTAAAACCCCGTTATAGAATTTGTGATTTCAACAAATCAAATGTAAAATTAAGTTGCCATTATTTTAAGATCTTAGAGCTGCCAGATTAAACAATTTGATTTTTAAATAGTGAATTATAAGCCATGAACCCCATCCCATGTTCCAAGGTTGAAAGACAACAAATCGAAGATCTCTTTACCAAATCAATAAATGAGCAAGCATCAAAATATCTAGAAAGATTTTACCTCAAAAGCTAAAACAAAAACTGTACCTTTAATAATCAAAATACAGAAATACACGTTAGACGAACATAGAACCTATGTTAAAATGTACTTAGATTAAAACATTTTCAATGTTCTTTTAACACAGAGATTTAAAGGTCAAAAAAGTTTTAAGAAAAATGGAAAAAAGTTACATTATTTGAGTAGCACAAAATTCATACCTTACAGGTGAGAGCAAAAGTCCATGTCTGGTGAGACTTTTTGGTGTTGACAGTAACCGTCAGATCAGGATTATGCTCTACCTTTACTCCTTCTACACATTCACTAAGCTGAAAACAGAGAGCAAATAACGTTAACATTTCCATTCCTAAAAGCTCACACAAAACTTCTGGCATACTCAATACATCAATAGTAAGATGTGATGGAACTGTTTACAAAGCAAAGTGTCTTATACATTAACTTTCAGGTTTTTTTGTTCTTACAAAATACAATAAAGCAAAAATAAAAGACATAGAAAACAAACAAACAAAATGCAGTAAAAACTCACTGAAAATAAATTAATTTAATACCTGCAAATCTCCAAACGGCTTAGTATTACTCTTTATTTTTTAGCAAACAGCTCTACTTTTGCTACTAAAAACACTTTTTTAAGAATCAAGTTCTTCATATAGAGGATAACGAAATAAACCAAAATATAGCACAAAATAAAGTCCAAGACTTAAACAAAATCATTATTTAAAACAAACAAACAAACAAATGCAGTTTATTTTCCTCACCACTTTCTCAGGAGATAATGAATTCATCCACTTTTCTATCAAGGTTTCCATGTAACTGCCTGAGAACTGTTTATTCTCATTTTGCTGTTTCAATTTTATCAACCGTGAAGCGTATCTTTTCTGCCATTCTGCTAGTTCTTCCTGGGAATGTGCTGAAGTACACTGGGCACCATACCTACAGATTCCTTGCTCTAAAAATCTAAGTAGAATAGGAAAGACTGTTTTATCATATACTTTGCTGGACCATTTAAAAGATAAACTTTCAGCATTTTCCCTCCAACTCCTCAATAACAAAAATAAAACTTAGTCTCTTGAAAGGCCATATTTATCACAGTGTCTTGCACAGAGGAGGAAGGAGAAGTTTAGAGAACATTTACAACAGTTCGTCAAAACAGCAACTCCCCATGTTAACTGACCTTCTTGAGAGTAAGGGGGTGCTAAAGCAGAGCATAATCATAACCACCCCACCCACAAAAACCATCCCTGGAAAGGTAGCTTCCTTCATGATGTAACAACTCTATTAGGTTCTCTTAAAGCAGCATTTTTTACAGCAACACTGACATCAAGTGGATTAGTTCGTCAAACACAGGTATGCCCTACTCCCCAAAATGATACAACCTAAAGAAAAGGTTCCACAAAGAATTTCATTCTGAAAAAACTTTACTATATCAATAAATTAGCCTTTTTAAGGCTTCTACTCTTTACTTTTACTCTTTTCTATATTACTATTACCAATATTTCATTTAAAATATTGGACTATATTAATTTGCTTGAAGTTTTAAAGAATAAAAGTTTTATATTAGAATCTCAATTCAAGAGATTAAATTCTTTAATAGCTAAATTCATAAATGTTCATTTTAAAGGTTACAGAATTAATAGTCTCTCAGTGTTTATAACTCAAAATATTAAACTGACAATTCAGTCAAAAACTGATAAAAATGCAAGATTTTGATCATTTTTTTAAGTTTTAAATACCCTGCAGAATTATGGATCCAGCCAATTTTTAAATGATTGAAGTATAATAAAATAAAGCATCTTATTTATGATTTAAAAATTTAAACTATAACTAGCAAAATGAAGACAAGAGTGAGATTACATCATAGTTTTTCAACTGGTAAAATATGGATAGTAAGAAATACAAAATGAACCACAGCACAATTTAAATTATCAAATGGCTCACCTTATTTGAAAAGATGAGTATATATAAAGCTTTTCTTGATGATACACAAAGCACTTGAACTTAAATTGTACTACTTATGAAGTTCTCTTATGAGTCATAAAACATCTTGAAAATCATGCATTTGTTTCTCTTATGTATGTCTTAGTGAGCCAAATATTTCCTTAACTTTCTACTGCTGTGTTTTAAATTATTTCCCTAGAAACTGAAGATTGGATATTCTCATTTGGACTATAAATTTTCTTATACTTCCTTTGCATAACGGATTGTGTTCTACCTCTCCTACAACAGGATGCCACCAGGAGTTTCAAAATTCACTACTTTGTTTATTTCTACTATAAAATTAAATCTGTGTCTTAACTATTCAATCATTAACATTACATATCAAATTTTCTTCATTATCAAAAGCAATCTAGAGTAATAAGATTTTATATCTAAAACCCCACTAGGTACTAGTGCTTATAAAAAAAAAAACCTTTCTAAATGTGACTAATAATTCTTTCCACTCAATACGTAATTATTAAGTTCTGAAAGGTTAACCCCTCAAATATAAATTATTCAAATTCTTTATAAGGATTACATGAAGATAGTATATTTTTAAAAGATTATTAAAATAATTTAACAATTCTTTGTCTATTTCATCTTCTATTTCAGTTTATATAAAGTAATTTCCATGACCATAACAGATAAATTTCACATAAGCAAGAGATCAACAATTAAATTCAGTCATATCAATCCAACTGGCATTATAAGAGACTTCTAAACAATCTCCATTTATACCACTGTTTTGTAATTAACAAAAGATTCATCAATATGGCTTTGATTTTGATTTTTTTAATAGTAATAATGACTATTATAGCTTCTGTTTCAAATTGAAAATAAACCATTTTACTCGATCATTATACTTCCTCCTTCACATATTTTCTTTGAAAAAGTGAAGGAAAATTATCCTTTGAATAAAAACATGTCATGGGTTTAAAAAAAAAAAATTCACGTTACCTTTTACACAAAGTATATTCCTCGCTGCTTGTGATTCCCCTAGGTGGTGGGCGGAAATGCCAACCATTACAAGATCCTAGAGAGTAATCAGGATATAGTCTTATCATTTGAGGCTTGCTAATAATTCTGATATCTTAATGTGTAAAAAATTCTATAAACCCTCCACACACATCATCCAAGATGATGTAAAAAGAACATAATATATTTGCCTCTACCAAAAAAGTAATTGACAATCAAGTAAGTTAAATCAACCATAAGAAACTTAAAAATCACTGAAAAAGCAATTACCAAGCAGCTAGTAAGTCAAATCTATGACCCTGACTATCCTACCAACTGGTGGGCATATTTCCAGTGCAGTCTCTTTCAAACAACTAACAGGGGGAATGTTGGCATGTTTATCATTTTTCAAGTATGAGATGTGTCTTTATTAGGAATACTTCAGGAATGAGAAAATTATGTATCCTGGGAGGAAATTTTAGAAAACAAATTCCAGTACTGCATTACTGAGTGAGAAGAAGTTTCCCGTCACTACCCATGTTCCTCAGGATCTGTCTGACATGTCATTGCATAAAGTAATCCTTTTTCACAACTGAAATAAAGTTCAAAAAGTTGAATTCTAAGGTAGGAGCTTAAAAAGAAAACATGTTTACTTCTGAATACAATGAGCTTGTATTTGTTTAGAGAAAAGACTAGAGTTACAGAGGCTGAGCAGGGCAAGTTTCCAAGGACCTCAGAGCCATTACCTATACCTAACCCTCATGAGTCACTGTGCCTCCCTGCCCCACCAAAAAATATAGATATTCAGCCAGGTTGAATTTAAAGCTAGGTTTCATGCCTTACTAGCTGTGTGACTGAGAAAATTACTGGACCTTAATAAATACCAGTTTCATCCCCTCTCAAAAAGATGGGGAAGGGCTCTAAGAAGTCATTATACGTTTGGCGAAAGCCACTATAGCCATCCATAGTATCCAGAAAGCACTCAGTGAAAGCTGCTCTCTCTTCCCTTTCCTCTGGCAAGAGAAGATTTTAGTGGTGGCAGAAACAACTCTGTTTACATATTAGAACTTCCAAAAAGTATTAATTGTACTAGCCTGGGAAAGAGAGAGGATGAAAGACCCCCCCACCCCTAAGGACTGCTAAGAATGAGTTTTAAACTATGTGGAGGCAAGAAAATGAAATAGTTAACTTCTAGAGCTACCTTATACCCCCTTTACTTCATTATTCTAGGAAGAGGGCCAATGAAAAGAATTGCTTTCATCCACACATTTTTTTAGAATTAAATCTTTTTATTTTTATATTCTCTCCTACAACTCCACTTCCATGTACTGTAACTCAGTAAATTTCTTCCCAATAATCAATAAAAAAGCAATGTCCAGATCACAGTTACTAGAAGTTACACAGAGTTTGGTACTTACCCTCTTCTAAATCTTCCACGTGATATTCAGAGAGGACGTTACTAGTTGCTGTCTGCAATTTTTGAAATGAAAGGTACTTTTATAATAAGAAATATCCAGTTGATGTCGAATTAAACTTGGACATTTTCAATATTCTTTAAAGGTTAAGTCTGAACACTCAGAAAAATTTAACATTAATATCTCAGATATGTTTTGCTTTATGTTAAACTGTATTTAAACACAGAAAACAGTAATTGTGTGGCCCTCATTAAGGAAACTGATAAGATTTCCTACATAAAAATTACCTAGTAGCCAAAGAACAATGGTCTAAGTCCCCAATCTGGAACCCACAGACTAGCGCCTTCCATCCACGCACTCCTTTCGCTCTTCTCTTCCAAACAACCAGAGAATGACCAGCTAGCCTTTTCTCCTTATCAAGCGGAGCACCGATTGGGGGCCTCGAAGCACATGCTGCTAAGTCCCCCTCACTGGGGGATGAGCCCTTTTCCACAAGGGAGTCCACAGCAGGGACCCACTCACTCTGACTTGGTTTTCTTGACGCCCTTGATGCAGATAAATCCTCAATCTGTGTCTTTGGCTCTAAGATTACTTTAAGCTCCACACCCACAATTCCAACTGAGTGCAGCCATAGCACTTTCCATTAACTCTTCCTCAACATTTTACATGCTGATCACTGCCAGCCACGTACAGATCATTGTCAAAAGCCTGCCCCTTTACGTTCCCGCCCCTCACAGGCAATCTGGCACATACTGGGTACTCAGTAAATGGTGGATGAATGGCTGGATGCACTTCAAACACAATTTGTCCAAAACAAAGTTCATCAACTTTACTGCAAATCTCACCTTCCTTCTCTGCTCCTTACTTCAAGTTCATAGACTCATCTTCCCCAAAGAGGGCAAGACTGAATTTAAGAAAACCATCTTGAACTTTTCCTCCTCTGTCCTGTTCTGAGTATTCTCCGAATCCTGCCCAACCAGGGGTAGAATGTCTCTTATAATCTCTACTCCCACTGCCATGTCCTAGGTAAGGAACTCATTACTACCTATCTCATCTATCCTTGAACCAAATGACTGCCAACCTTACCCTGCACCAAGTCACCTCTGGGTCTTCACTTAGCTACTTCCGTCCTTTGACCTCAGTTCCCAGATTCCTGCCTCCCTGGTTTCCCCACAGAACGTTCTCCTCTTCTTTCCCAGCCTGTACTTCCATTATACAGCACTTACTAACCACAGGCTGCCCTCTGGGTACAGTAGCTTGTGCACCTCATACCTGCCCATCAGATTGTTTTTCATTAATATCTCAGCTTTCCAAAACCCACAGAACCTTGAACAGCATAGGCACACTGCATCAGGAGGAGGAAATGATATCCCAAGGTGAAATTTGGAATGTCTTGTACCATAGAAAGAATGTCATAAATGCTAATTGGGTATAACTGAAACAATAATATCACTATAATTCACATGTTGTTAATTAAATTGGACTTTCTAGATTGGGCTGGAACTGAATCACTATAATAACTCTACTGGAAAATGCCTTCTTATTCTCAACACTGCTTACTAATAAGTTTTTAAAGACAACCTTTTTTTTTTTTTTTTTGTAAAATGAGGACTGTATATAAGAATGCATACGCTAACAAATCAGTTGTAACTGCTAACATTATAAGGATTTTATTCTCATAAGACACATTAAAAGACCTCTTCAAATTTTATGAGCAAGTTCTAAATGCCATAGTCCCACACCTGGCCTTAAAAAATGATTCCATCTACACAGAATCTATAAGAATAAAAGTATAATATGCTAATCAGACCAGATGTCTTTCTGGACATCCTTCCAGACAACCATTCGGATGAAGCCAAGGCTCTGAGGAAAGCCTGGGTCCTGGGTGCCAGAGAGAAGCCAGTGCCGGCAGCCGGGGGGAAGGAAGGCCTACTCTTGCACAAATTTCATGCATCGGGCCTCTAGTGTATAAATAAAAAACTAAAACTTGATTTCAAGTATGAATTTAAAGGATCCCCTCTAAAATATTTATCAAAATAAATTTATCAAATATACAGAAAAGATGGGCATAAAATGTTTGGTCATAAAAATGAAGGCTAAAACATTTATGATTGTTGTTAGAAAAGAAAAACACACAGTGCATTTCCCAAGTCAGCATCTGCATGCAAAAGGGCAGTGGAAGCCTGAGCTGACACTAGAACTTGCAGGCTGGGATGGTCTCGAACACACAACCTCAGAGCTGGTGAGACAGAGAGACAGAGACAGAGACAGAGACAGACAGAGAGACAGAGAGACAGAGAGACAGAGAGACAGAGAGAGAGGGAGAAAGAAACTCGGCTTTGATGAGTATTTGGTCACAATGACTTTTAGGTTCCAATGTATTGTGTTTGGTCGGTTTTGTTTTGTTTTATGTGCTCAGGTCCCAAGACAGAAGGGCAAAATGAATTAGCTTATGATCTTTAGTCTTCATTGATGCCTTCAGGGAAAGCAACCAAATTTCATATTGCTAGAATTCCTATAAATTCACCATCAAATCTATTGATTTGATATTTTAAACTTTACTAATACGTATTGTTTTTGTTCCCATTAGCAAACCCTCAATTCCATGTCTTTATCCTCATCCACTAGCATTCACAAGTTAAATACCAGCTCAGCCCCATCTTTAAATAAAAAATGTTGCTTTTTAGATGTCATAATAATAAATAAGGGAAGCATTGTTTGTTAATTTTTTTCTAGATAGATTTTTAAAAATAATTTCAGTTCACTAACCAAAAGACTACTACTTTGGTTACATAGAAAAGAAATTATAAACAAAACTGCCGGTTTGGCTCAGGGAATAGAGCATAGGACTGCAGACTAAAGGGTCCCAGTTTCAATTCTGGTCAAGGGCACATGCTTGGATTGTGGGCTCGGTCCCCAGTGAGGGGGATGCAGGAGGCAGCTGATCAATGATTCTCTCTCATTGATGTTTCTATCACTCTCTCCCTTTCTCTTCCTCTCTGAAATCAATATATTTTTTTAAAAAGAAATTATAAACAAAACTAAATCATTTCCAAAAGTACAGTCACAAAATAAGAGTCAAGTGATATTTGTGACCTTACATGTCTCAGTATTATAAAAAGTAAAAGTAAAATTTTACATATATCTACATTTGCATATGACTGGCAAGCTGAGTTACAGAGGCTCAGAAAGTTCCACCACCCCACCTTTACAGCCTGCTATCTTAGCCAATGCCCAATGATTTTCCAAAATTTAATACAAAACACTAGCCAGACTGAGTGAAATTTTCCAAAGAAATACACTGAAATAGTCTTACCTCTGTTTCTGTGAGAAGTGTTTTTAGTCTTGTTAAGTCTTTTGTTACCATCCCATTCTGAAAAGATAAATGAAAAAGGGAAAAACCGATTAGTATATTAGTTCTTGACTATGGGGACTTAATTCCTTAACTGTTCCTAAGGTTTATTTGTAAAGAAAACAATGCTACTCCTCACTTCCATCCGGTCATTAATCATGATAATCAAGTTAACCATCTAAAAGGAAAGTTAAAAGGTTAATTTAACAGAATAAAATATATAGTGTACCCTAAAGCACTGTATTCACCTTACATTAAAGCTTAAAATCAATTCAATAAAATATACACAATGGGTATCACCAAAGAGCAAGATAGGATAAATGAAAAGAAAAATAAGCCTAAACTTTTAAAAAATATTTTTCCCTAAAATTAATCCTAATACATAAAAACCCTGGGTCTGTCACATCCACGACTGGAGGCTCAAATGGCCAGGCTGCGCGCACAGCAGGCTCTGGTGGGCAGGGACTTATGGCGACAGGGACAGGGGAGGCAGGGCTGGCACTCACACTCACTTATAACTGCACACACGCACAGACACACAGTGTCCACCAGCTCACAGCCTTTTCTTCCTTTCTTTCCCTCCCTCCCAGCTCGCTCTCGGAGCCTCTCTCAGAATGCTGAAACAAAACATACTGGGCCTGAAGACACTTAGATGGAAGGTAGGGCAGGCAGAGAGTGGAGTGGCCCCCACTGGCCCACCCCCTCCCAGCGGGGAGGGAGGAGAGGGGCAGACGAAGAGGGAGGAAGGGAGGCAGGGAGGTCTGGAGGACTGCTGAGAAAAACGAAGAGAGACAGGACTGGGTGAGATCAGGCTGGCAGCAGACAGAGGCAGCCAGGGGCAATCAGGCAGGCAGGGAGGTGACAGTTAGGAGCCAACGCTCTCAGATTTTGAGAGGGATATCCCCCAAGGGGTCCCTGGTTGGAGAGGGTGCAGGGTGGGCTGAGGGAACCCCTCCCCGTGCACGAATTTCCTACACCAGGTCACCAGTGATCTTATATTTGCAAAACAGTGAATTCAATCAGATTCACATAAAATAATGATAGCACTTTAAAGGTGGCTCATTAACAAACCTGATAAAGGAAAATATGCAAAATATTCTCTCTTCTGAAATTCACATTTCACTTGAGATTTAAAGGCAACTTACTTCTTCCTAGTTTAAAAACCCAATAGGTAAAACTATGCAATATGATAAACTTACATAAAAAAGTTCCTTAAAAATAAAATATTCTTAATAATAGAGGTATCTTATCACCTACTTTGAACTACACAGCTATAACATTTTGCTATATTAATACATTTAACCTTTAATGTGAATTTGGTGAAATAAAAAAGCAATGGTAAATCAATTAAACAATATACTACACAATAATTCCTTAGAAATAAACTACTCTCTGAGATGAGTCATTACATTACACTTAGCAGTATACTAAGTACTCTCTTAAATTCTTTTTTGTCACCAAATATATTTATTTCCATTAAAAACACAACTTTATGCCAGATTTTCATAGTTTCTATCAATTCAAAAGAATAAGAGAATAAAATAAAATAGGAAATTCATACTATATAGCACAGTATACATATACTTCCTTTCTTTCACTGTTTTTCATTATGATTCCTGAAAAATATCAGAGAATTTTATAATAGTAACCAACTGGTGAGAAAAAGAGTTATACTATCATCCTGTCTTCCAATCTTACAGATTGCCAACTCTGAAGTTCCAAAAAATAGTTTTTTAATTAAGTCAACCAAAAACAAACTCTAGAAAATTAAATGCTACATAAAAAAAGTTAATTCCAAAGTCTAAATAGAATTAAATAGCTCCATCAGAGTGGTCATGAATATCAACTTATACCCATATCATCTTCAAAAATAAAAGTAATTATTATATAGTTTAGATAAATGTAAACATTTTATGAAATAAGTGGCCAAATTTAAGGACCTTATAAAATCATATATCCACAGGAGAATTTTAAAACATAACAAAACCAAAATATTTTCAAGTTCTGATTTAGCTAGACTATATTTTCAAAGTTTCAAAAAGCAACTGCAATTCTTTTATATATCACAAACTACAAGAATCCAATGGTTAGATATCAGTTTGTTAAAAAGAAATGAGTATCTCAAGGTAACCCATGAACTTCATTTCTGGTAGAAGAAAATGCACACTAACTGTTTTTCCCCACAATATTCCTAAAGAGTCATATATATAAATCTCTTTTCAGACATTCAAAATTAGAATTCATTATCGTATGATTTCACTCACACGTGGAACATAAAACTGAAAGCAACAAATGAACAAATAGGACAATCAAACAAACAAAAACTCAGACATAAACAGTATGACGGTTACCAGCGGGAAAGGGCGTGGAGGGATAATGCAGTAAAGGGTAAAGGGGGTCAAATACATGGCGACAGAAGGAGATATGACTTTGGGTGGTAAACACACAAGGCAATATAGATGATAATCATAGAATTATACACTTGAAAACTATATAATTTTGTTAACCAGCCACAACAATAATTGTTTTAAAGCACTGAAAAGAAATTAGAGCTCATCACCGTACCAGGGATTCTCCTGTCAGTGACGTGGCAAGAATGTTGGAGACAAGTTGAAGCTTTCCTTTCAGCTGCATGCAGCAGAGCACGGCCTGAAAGGCGCCATCTCCCCTGGCCAGTCCTTCTCCCAGCACTGTCAGAAAAGAACAGCCACTGTTAATCACATGACACTTAATACACATTTTTCCTTGATTTTACTATTGGCACACTATCACAGGCATGACTTCTTCTACACTAAAAGAAAAACTTTAAGTACTAGAGGAAAGGGTGATACTTCAGTTCCGTCTAAGACATGCATAAAGACAAGAAAATAAAACTCTGGCCAGTTGGCTCAGTTGATTGGGCATCAGATGGTATACCAAAAAGTTGCTGGTTTGATTCCTGGTCAGGGCACATGCAGGGATTATGAGCTTGATCCCTAGTAGTAGGTGTACAGGAGGCAGCCAATCTATCAAAGTTTCGCTTTCTCATTAATATGTCTCTATCTCTTTCTCTCTCTCTCTCTCTCTCTCTCTCTCTCTCTCTCTCTCTCTCTCTCTCTCTTCCCCTTCCTCCCTCACCCCTTTAGCCCAAAGTATTTTTCCCAAATGTTTCAAAAGGAAAATTTTAATGACAATAAAAACTAAATCTTCAGTCATTAATAAAGTGAAATCATTCACTGCTTGGATATAATTACATTCTCTGAACCAACATTTCAAAAATAAAAAATAAAAACATTATTTTTAAGAGAATATAAATTTATAATTTATAAATTCCTGTCCTAAATATCAGCCATTTAATATTTGGCAATAAATCTTATTTTTTTTTAATATATTTTGGGAGCCAAGGCCAGTTTGGCTCAGTGGATAGAGCTTCGGCCTGCGGACTGAAGGGTCCCGGGTTTGATTCCGATCAAGGGCATGTACCTTGGTTTCCAGCACATCCCCAGTGGGTGTGGTGCAGGAGGTGGCTGATCGATGATTCTCTCTCATAAATGTTTCTAACTCTCTATCCCTCTCTCTTCCTCTCTGTAAAAAAATCAATAAAAATACATTTAAAAATAAATAAATATATATATATGTGTATATATAAATATATATATATATATATATATATATATATATATATATATATATATATATTTGGGGGCGGGAGTAGTATATATAAGCAGACTCCAAACATTGGAAGGCCTACCAGTAAATCAAAGTATTAACTAAAGAGTAAAATGTTCATTTCTTCTAAGTATCAAAAAGTACAACATTACCCAGAGTAAGAACACTGTGGGCAAATCTCTGACCAGTATCCCTTTGGCCATATCTGGGTTTTTCCCCAATATTCTTCTTCTCTGCCTCGACCCTTTTCCCTTGCCCTCACTTTTCTTCCAATTATAATAAATAAACACTTTGGACATGTAGGCTGCAGCTGTTGTGGTATATTGTGTCCTTCCTTCCAAGGACTTTCATAGATAAAATATTTCCTTTATAAAATGCTTTTGGAAAATGAAAAGCCTTAACACTATTCAATGCTATATATACTTAGAACCAGCTGAATATTTCAGCTTTAAACACTGTAATACGTTGTTGTTTTTTAATCCCTGCTACCTTGCTCCTTTCAATATTAGGTCCTTAATCCATCATACAAATCGTTATGATCTTTTTGGGTTTGCAATGAGCATTAAAGTTAAGCTCTTATTGTATACTAGAGGCCCACTGCATGAATTCATGCACTTCGGGGGGTGGGGGTTCCCTTAGTCTGGATTGCAAGAGGGTGCAGGCCAGGCCTAGGAACCCCACCGGTGCAAGATCAGAGCCGAGGAGGGACGCAGGCATGTTCAAAGGTGTGTCCAGACCATTTTGCTCAGTCGCGATCAGCTGGACCCCAGCAGCAAGTTAACCCACAGGTCAGAGCTTCTGCTCCCTGGTGGTCAGTGCACATCCTAGCAAACAGTTGAGTAGACTTAGCACATTACACTTTGATTAGTTGAATGGCCGACTGGACACTTAGCATATTAGGCTTTTATTATATAGGACTTTTGGAAGAGTTCTTTCCTTTAACTGCAGTTTATTGTAAAGAGCTTGGACTCCTTCCTTCTCAAAATTTTCATATTTCAGAAACAGGTCATTTTTCCTGGTTTATTTTCAACATTCCAGTTTAAATTTTAGAAATAACTCATTTATGTCCCTCAACTTCCTCATTACTATACAAATCCTATAAAGTAGGTCCCTGGGTTATATTGGAGATCTGTTCCTATGGCACAATGTAACACAATTTTCACCATAAGTTGGAACCCACCTACATAAGCACCTACATCACTCACATGGAGCACATACACAGCAGTAATAAAATGAAACAGTAAAAAAATTTTAAAGATAACAATTCCTGACCTTTACTTGTGGTAAATAAATAATAAAAACATAAAGCACATATGTACATATGACGAAATAATGGAACTTTTTAAATTAATAAATAGAAGATGGTGATGTAACCACAAAACAACATACGTTGAATCCGATGTAACCCAAGGACTGCCTGTATAATAAAACTCTAATATGCAAATCAACCAAATGGCAAAATGACCAATCACTATGATGCACACTGACCACCAGGGGGCAGATGCTCAACTCAGGAGCTGCCCCCACTGGGATTGGGGCAGGAGGGCAGCTCCTGAGTTGAGTGTCTTCCTCACCGAGAGGGAGGCAACCAGTAGCGGTGATCAGGGAGCAGAGCCGGCCAGCGGGCGGTGAAAGCCACCAGCCAAGGCAGGTGCCAGCAGCGCCCCCCCTGATCGCCCCACCCACCAGTCACCCCACAGATGGCCCTGATCACCAGTCAGGCCTAGGGACCCTGCCCTATATATTGAGAACAGTCTCTTAGATTTAAAAATTAAAACCTGGCAAGGGTACTATAACACTGAAAAAACAGGATGCAGCAGCTATGACATGCATGGACTCTGGCTTGCACATTTCGTGATCAGCCCTGATTCTGACACTTATAACTGTGTGACAAAGCCATTTACTTAACTTCTCTCTGCTTCAGTTTTTCCACTCATTAGATGGGGAAATGGTACTACTGCCTCAGAAGGATCATGTTATGTACTACTTTTTATAATCAGGGCAAAAAAATATAGCTGTCCATACAACGGAAAAAGCATCAAAAAGCTAGAAGTCTAGTCAGTCTCTTCTCTCTAAGGGATATCTTCTAATGAAGGGGAAAGCCTTTTAGAAGGGATAGGCCCAGTCTTTCAATTTATCCAAGCTTGACATTTTAACCAATGTGCGTTACAGTTCTAAAACTTGGCTCCTAGTGACTGAAAATACTCACACAAACTTTAAAGGACACTATCGATGTTCCCAAGGGAGAGACCAGAATGTCAACGCTCATGAGTGACTAGGAACAAAGTTGGCCTGCACACACATCACAGCAGAAAAGTCCTCATCCATGTCAGTCACTAGTCACCACAGTAAGGTGGATTTTTTAAATTTTATAATCACTTTTGAAATTAGCATAGGGAAAAAAGTAAACCTTAAACATTGCTCAAATTATTCAAAATCCAAATCAAAGAAGAGTCCCATTTTTACACATACCATGCCTACAATCTTCATCAGCTTGTCCATACTTTTTCTGCAAAATAAAAGATATGAGATAAATATCATTAAGTAGTTCAAGGGCTGCTTACAATAGAGATTTTATCCAAAAAAACTTGGCTTTGTTGCAAAGTTTAAGCATTAATGTTGCAAATTTAATATTCACAGAGCAAAGCTAACTCATGTGCTCTCTGAAGATTACACAATACTCTACAAATAAATACCACAATATACTTCCCTAGTCCCGTGGTCGGCAAACTGCGGCTCACGAGCCACATGAGGCTCTTTGGCCCCTTGAGTGTGGCTCTTCCACAAAATGCCATGGCTAGGCGAGTCTATTTTGAAGAAGTGGCATTAGAAGAAGTTTAAGTTTAATAAATTTGTCTCTCAAAAGAAATTTCAATCATTGTACAATTGATATTTGGCTCTATTGACTAATGAGTTTGCTGACCACTGTCCTAGTCCATTTATTCACACTCCTACTTCTCACTTTCTCTAACTTCAAATCATCAGAACTTCCTGAGCCCCCTTTCTCATTCTCAGCTAGTGCCTTTACAGAGAAAACCATAGGAACAAGAAGGAAATTTCCATAGACTATCACATCTACCCAGGTCCTACCACACTCCATCTTCTACCTGTTACCAGACAAACCCCCCATGCTTCTTTCTAAAGGCTATCCTACCACCCATGGAGATGTGCTCTCTGGCCCAGGGAAATATATCACTCCAGCAAGCCTCCTCTATTTCTCCTACATCATTAATTTTTATTTTATTTTTTTTGCTTTCTACTGATTCAGTCCTATAAATAAACATACTATTATTTCTTACATCTTAAAAAAAAGAATCATTTTCTTGACTTCACTTCTCCCACCAGCTACCATTCCATTTATTTATTTATTTATTTATTTATTTATTTATTTATTTATTTATTGTGTGTGTGTGTGTGTGTGCGCGCCTCTCTGGGGCAAAATGCCTTAAAAATTGTCTATAATTATGTATTTAAACTCCTTCTCTCTGACTCTCTCATAAACACTCTTTAATCAGACATTCATCCACCGCTCTATGGAACAGCAATGGGCACTGCTGAAAATCCCCTTGTTTGGGTACACTTTCTTTACTTAGCTGCCAGGACACCATACTTCTTAGTTTCCTTTACCTCAACGTTGCCCTTCAAGCTGATTTGCATGTTCCTCTTCCCTCAACCTCTCAACGCTGTGGAGCCACAAGGCTAAGTCCTTGGTACTCTCCTCTTCTCTATCAGCACTCATTCCCTTGGTGATGTGACCCAGGCTCAAGACTTCATATATCACGCATAGGCGAAGACTCTTCAATTACTATCTTTAGCCCAGACTCCTCTTCCAAACTCCATACCTGCATATCTGGCTAATTACTCAACATCTCCAGCTGCATGCATATAAGCCTAACCAGTGGTCACGGACAACAGGGGGGTGGGGGATATACATGGGGATGGGAATGGGGGGATGAGGACAATTATGTGATACCTTAATCAATAAAGAAATTAAATTTTTTTTAAAAAAAGACATCTCCAGCTGGATATCTAAACATCTCAAACTCAGTATGTTCACAACGAATTCTTCCCTCACAGAACCTGTTCCCCACCTATAGCCTTTTCATCTCAGTAGAAGGAAAATCCATTCTTCCAATTGCTCAGGGCAAAAAATGTCAAGGTAAGTAATCTGTGACTGTTCTGTATGCCTGACATTCAGTATATTAAGAAATTTTTATTGGTTCTAGCTTCAAATTATAACGAGAAACAAATCACTTCTCACTATCTTCACTGCTACCATTTTGGTCTGGGCCACTGTAATCTCTGGCCTGTATTATTCCAATACCCTCCAAACTAGTATCCCTGCATCTATTCTTCCCCCTTTATAGTCTACTAAAGGCCTGGGGCACGACATTTTTGCACTGGAGGGGGGGTCCCTCAGCCCAGCCTGCGCCCTCTTGCAGTCTGGGATCTCTCAGAGAATGTCCACCTGCCGACTTAGGCCCAATCCCTAAGCCAGTAGTCAGACGTCGCTCTCCCAGTCCAGGGCTCTCGCAGCCCAGGACCCCTCACTCCTTACCGCCCACCTGCAGCAGAGGCAGGAGAGGCTCCTGCCACCAACACTGCGCTCGCCAGCCATGAGCCCAGCTTCTGGCTGAGCAGCACTCCTCCTGTGGGAGCACAATGACCACCAGGGGGCAGCTCCTGCATTTGGCATCTACCTCCTGGTGGTCAGTGCACATCGTAGCAACAGGTCATTCCACCGTTTGGTCGATTTGCATTATTAGTGTATTATTATATAGGACTAGAGGCCCAGTGCACAAATATGTGCATGGGCAGGGACCCTCGGCCTGAGCAGTGATCGAGGCCTATCGGGAGGCCAGTCAGCCAGAAGGAAGGACTCCAGGGGATTGTCCATCTGGCCCCCCAATCGAGGCCTATGGGGGCACAGTTGGCAGGGAGAAGGGGCCATGGGAGGTTGGCTGTGGGAGCGCACTGACGTTTCTGCATTTAGCGTATGCCACCTGGTGGTCAGTGCATGTCATAGCAACTGGTCAACTGGTCATTCTGGTTGTTGGGTCATAACGGTCACTTAGGCTTTTATATATAAAGACTCTCAACACAAAAGTCAGATAATTCCTGTTAAATCAGATCATGCCACCCCTCTGATGAAAATCCTACAATAGCTTTCCATCTCAAATATAATACAAACTAGTCCTAGAGTGTCCCAGAGGATCTAGCCCTCTTAACAACTCCCAATGTACTTCACGCCAGCACAATGGCCTCCTAGCTGTTCCTCAATGATGGTAGTCAGGGTCTTTATACTGACTGTCCCTCTGCCTATAATGATCTTCCTCCAGATTACAACATGGCTCACTCCCTTACCTTCTTCATATCACCTTATTTATAATGACTACCTGACCACCCAATTTAATACTTCAACCTTAGCCCTGACCAGTGTGACTCAATTGGTTGGAAAGTCTTTCCATACACTGAAAGGTCACAGGTACCCAGGAATTGTACATAGGTTGTAGGTTCAATCCCCAGTCGAGGTGTGTGAGGGAAGCAATTGATTGGTGTTTCTCTTTCACATCAATGTTTCTCTCTCTCTCCTTCTCTCCCTCTCTAAAATCAGTGAGAGCATGTCCTCAGGTGAGGATTACAAAATAATAATAATAAATAGAAAAACTGCAACCCTATCCCTAACACTAGTGACCCCAATATTCCTTGCCCTGTTCTACTATTTTTCATGCAGACTGTTACTTTCTAACAATCTAAAGTGTTTACTTAGTTATAATGTCTCTAACATTTATTGTCTTCCCCGCTACCAGAAAAAGTACCATGAAGAAGGGATCTTTCTCTATATTTTTTACCCATGTATACCAACCACCTAGAACAGAGTCTAGCACATAGTATGCCCTCAATATTTGTTAAATACAGTGCTAAGTACAAGTTTCAAGACTTAGAAATACAGTTGCTTGCCATCAAAGATATCCAGCAATCACTAGCCACTTCACTCACCTCCTCAGCCCACATTTAAGTGACTTGTAGTGGGAGTGACCAGCAATAGTGGCCACTCAATGAAAAGGGCCCTTTTACAAGGCTTGGCACTGACTTATCAACACTGTTTACTTACCAGTTGCAAAAATGAGGCAATTCTATAAAGAAGACTCTCAATTTTGATGCTTTCTATTTCTAGTGAACATGGCCCTGTGAAGTCAGCCATGGAGTACTGGCCAAGAGAAAGAAGGGCCTCTGTGCAGTGTTTGAGGGCCATTTCATAGTCCTGCCTCTTGAGGGATTCACATGCTTGTTCACATGACTTCTCAGCTCTTCTGTCTTCCATGACTCAGGGACAAAAATCCTAAAGACGGGGAAAAAATAAGAGAGGGTTTTAAAAACTTATTAATTATAAATTCTAATACCATTCCTGGCTTAGCTGGTTTAATTATCTATCTGAATAGTTACTCTCCACCAGCCTTTTGATCAAGGTCACAGCTGAGCAGCTATTGATGCTACAAAATCCACACTTCTCTTTTATATTTTATAAAATCTTTAATAAGATCCAAGCAAAATATCAACCACAAATCAGGATCATACCAACAATACATCCAATTTATAAATGAGACAAATTTATAAATGAAACATGACTTTGAATATTGCAAAGTGCAACAAACCATAAAGGGTTCCTTTTTAATCAGAAGGTGCAGGAATGTTTCATATCCAAACCTTCCAATTTCACTTTTGTAATTCTGTGGCTGTGTTTACAGAGAATCAAAATCTACACCATGTAGAATTTTTCCCACCAATATTAAAAAACTGGCTAAAATGCAAGTCTGAACTGCCTATTAATTCAATTCAGCAATCATTTCCTGAGGCTAGGCCCTGTGCTTAGCAGCACTGAATTCAAAGACAGAGCATGTCATCACTACTTTTAAGAAACTCAGATTCAAAACAGACATATAGATCAATGGGACATAATAGGGAGCCCAGAAAAAAACCTACGCCTTTTATGGCCAATTACTATTTGACAATGGAGGCAAGGACATACAATGGGGTAAAGACAGTCTATTCAAAATATGATGTTGGGAAAATTGGACAGAAAAAATGAAACTAGACCACCTTCTTACACCATACACAAGAATAAAACTAAAAATGGATTAATGACTTAAATGTTTGATTCAAAACTATAAAAATCCTAGAAGAAACCACAGGCAGTAAAATCTCCAACATTTCTGGCAGCAGTATTTCTTCTGATATATTGCCTTGGGCAAGAGAAATGAAAGAAAAAATAAACAAGTAGAACTACACCAAACTAAAAAGTTGTTGCACAACAAAGGAGACCATCAACAAAATGAAAAGGCAACCCACTATATGGGAGAATATATTCACCAAGGACACATCTGATAAGGAATTAATATCCAAATTTTACAAGGAACTTATAAAACTCAATACCAAAAAAAAAAATAAAAAAAAAAATCCAATTTAAAAATGGGCAAAGGACCTAAATACACATTTCTCCAAAGAGGACCAACAGACATATGAAAAGTTGCTCAATGTCACTAATCATCAGAAAACTGCAAATTAAAACCACCTGACACCTGTCAAAATGGCTGCCATCAATAAATCAACAGCAATCCTGGCCAGTGTGGCTCAGTAGGTTGGATATCATCCCCTGCACAGTAAGGTGGCTGGTTCAATTCTCGTATCTCTTCGGGATACATACCTAAGTTTCAGGTTCAATCCCCTGTCAAGGTGCATACCAGACACAGTCCATCAATCCAATCAATGTTTCTCTCTCACATGGATATTTCTCTCTTTCTCCATTCCTCTCTCTCTAAAATCAATTATATATATATATATATATATATAGAGAGAGAGAGAGAGAGAGAGAGAGAGATCGATCCTCAGATGAGAATTTTTAAGTCAACTTTAAGAACATTCCTATCACTAACTTCTCATTATTTTTATAAAATAGAAACCTGTTTTAAAATCTATCCATCTTAGCACAATCCCAAAACAAAAATTGATAAATTTGACTTTATCAAACTTAAAGATTTTATCTCTTTGAAAGATACTGTTATAAGAATGAAAAGACAAGCTCAAGACAGAGGAAACTACTTGCAAATTGCATACCTGGAAAAAGGTTTGTATCTGAATATATAACAAAATCTCAGAACCCAACAAAACAAAAACAACCCAATTGAAAGCTGAGCAACAGACACTGGCCAGGTCTGGATCTAGCCCAATGCGGGATGAGGGGGGCGGCCAGGTCTGGGTCTCATATGATTTTGAGGCGCATGTGGGTGGGCGGGGACTTGACTCTGGGTCCCCTTTTAATGTGCACGAATTTCGTGCACCAGGCCACTAGTTTGACTATAATCTGCCTCACACATTACTTTCCCTGTGAAAACGCCATTATCCTCCTGAAAACAAAATAATAGAAGGTTGTAAATGCATTGTGGCAGCAGAAAGAAAAGCCAGATTAATACATTATGAAAATGACCTACATGACCAGCATAGTGGAGAAAGCACAGCAGAACCTGTCCCTTTCCCCACCAGGCAACATGGCCTTGGTGGGACAGCGCAGCCAGTAAAAGTGTGTCGTGCTTCCTTGGGGACGAAAAAAGTTAAGAATCATTACTCTAAAAATGTCACATTCTTTGGAACCATAAAGGTGGTTCCAAAATGCCTATAAAATAACTTCCCAAGCTCATGACTTGATATCCCAAGCTCATGACTTGATATCCCAATCTGGCTACAACTTAATTTTCCCACCACTCTCCCCAACAGGCCCCAAGCACAGGCCAGATGCTGAGTCTATCTCTAACAATGCCATTCCCTTGACCCAATGTCCTTTCCTTCCTCTCTCTGTACCTAAATCCTACACAGCCTTTAATGAATACTTCAAGGCCTGCTTCTCTAAAATGCTCTCCTCCTGAGGAGCATTATGCTAAGTGAAATAAGCCAGTCAGAGAAAGACAAGTATCACATGATCTCACTCATATGTGGAATCTAATGAACAAAATAAACTGATGAACAAAATAGATCCAGAGACATAGAAGCACAGAACACTGTGGCATCTCAGAGGGAAGGCGGGGAGGGAGAGTGGGTGGGAAGTGATCACCCAAAGAAAACGTATGCATATATGCATAACCCATGGCACAGATCTGGGGTGGGGAGCAGGGGTGGACTAAAGGGAATCAATGGGGCAAAGAGGGGACAAGTGTAATACTTCCAATGATAAAGGTTTTTTTTAAATAAAAATGCTTTCCTCCCAAAACCAGCATTACTTCCTGCAGACTGATCTAGCCTCATAATCATCTATTATCTTGCATTAAATATATTGTGTCAGATGCTTTAACTGCTCAACATAACTACCTTATAAATAAGTCGCATTTTATATCATTTATGCCCCCATGAAAAGCATTCAATTTGCTATAACCACTCAATAATTTCATTCACTTTCCCACAGAGATGATCTAAAATAACCTAAATTCCAACCATTCCAAGAACTATCCTATACCAAATTCAGCTCTCACTAGAATACCATAAAGGGGAATGTTATATTATCTTTAAATTTATTCTGTTTTTATCAAAAACTGGAAACTGTGATGTGGTTGTATGATACAAAGACAAAATTTTTTGCAAAGTAATAAAATTTTATTTATTTTACTATGTTAATAGTCAGCCAGCTTGCAATTTTCTCTAAAACTCATAAAATCACTAAGTATCCAAGAAGCATTAGAAGAGAGGCTACACATATAAAGAAAACTAAGATCATCAATCATATTCTACTTTTAAATAATCTCTTACATAAAGAGGTAAACTCTATAATGAGAATGAATAAAATTCCAAAATGAAGAAAATTCAATATAGCAACATAAAGGTTTTAAATATTGATACATAAAAGAAATTCCCCAGTGGACCTGCTACCATCTGTCCTAGTGACTAAAATGAAAAAAAAACAAGAACTACATTTTTTTAAAAGTTATATCAGCAGCTAAATTTGAGCTTTTCCCCCATCTATTACTCTGATTTTTCCTGACCCATTTTAGAACTGCCACCAATTCTGGAGGTAGCTGTCTTGGTTTCAATTATTCCAGATTACTTAATGAAGAGTTTGAGCCCTCTCCCAAATCATTTAAAACGCTTACTAATAAAAAAAGATATAAAACAGTGGAAACCGATTTGGCTCAGTGGATAGAGCGTCGGTCTGCGGACTAAAAGGTCCCAGGTTCGTTTCCAGTCAAGGGCATGTACCTTCATTGCGGGCACATCCCCAGTAGAGGGTGTGCAGGAGGCAGCTGGTCGATGTTTCTCTCTCATCAATGTTTCTAGCTCTCTATCCCTCTCCCTTCCTCTCTGTAAAAAAAAAAAAAAAAAAAAATCAATAAAATATATTTAAATTAAAAATATATATATATAACAAAAATCCATATTTATAAAGCAGGCAAATTATAGTAAAAGATGACTTCTAAAACACTTTCTATTCTTTGTATTTCATTTTCCCTTCCATGTTACCTGCTTACAAACACATTATCATACTAGAGGCCCAATGCATGAAATTCATGCAGAAATGGGCCTTCCTTCCCCCCGCTGCCAGCACCAGCTTCCCTCTAGCGCCCAGGACCCGGGCTTCCCTCCGGCCGCTGGCAGACACCCAGGAGCACAGGAGCCGGGCTTCCCTCGCAGGCCTGGCTTTGTCCAGAAGGTCGTCCGGAAGGACGTCTGGTCTAATTAGCACATTATGCTTTTATTATTATAGGTAAAAGAGGTGACCTTTGTGTAAATAAAACACAAATCAATATAAAAGAGCCTTTAAAAAAAAGGGGGGGGTACCACTTCCACTACCACCACCATAATTATCATCGTACCTATGTTCTAAAACTACATTTTCAAATCAATGTTTGAAACTTAGAAGAGTTTCTACAGAAACAGTGTTAAGAATAGGGATTACTGGAAAATGAACTGACCACAAAATAAGACCCAAAACGGAGGCATGGAACAGACTGACATACCTCGATGTGGAGAAGAGGGTGGGTGAGGAGGGGGAAAGAGATAAACCAAAGCATTTATATAATAATACTTTATGCATAGTCCATGGACATGGGTGTAGGGTGTTGAAGACCTAGGGGGAAGGTTAGGCACTAAGAGGAGGAGAGTAAAGGGGGGATATGGGAGACATCAATAATACTATAACAATAAATATATATACCAATAAAAATATAAAACAAGAAGATACTTTTTTAAAATATGTTTTTATTCATTTCAGAAAGGAAGGGAAGGGGAGAGAGAGAAACATCAATGATGAGAGAGAGTCACTAATCGGCTACCTCCTGCACA